CTCTGCTCAAGAATGTTTGGGGCAATCAGGAAATCCAAGAACTTAAACAATTCATGGAAACCAATGAGAACGAAAACACATCGGTCCAAAACCTATGCAAGGTCCTAAGGGGGAAATACATAGCCATCCAAGCCTCACTGAAAAAGAATAGAAAAATCCCGCATTCACCAACTAACTTTACACCTTAAAGAACTGGAGAAAAAGCAACAAACGATGCCTAAGCCATGCATTAGAAGAGAAATAAGATCAGAACAGAGATCAGTGAATTAGAAACCAGAAACACAGTAGATCAGATCAACGGAACTAGAAGCTGGTTCTTTGAAAGAATTAGTAAGATCGAAAAACCACTGGCCAGAGTTATACAAAAGAAAAGAGAAAGGACCCAAATTAATAAAAATATGAATGAAAGGGGAGAGATCATAACTAACACCAAGGAAATAGAAACAATTATTGGAAATTATTATCAACAACTATATGAATAGGCCAATAACCAGTAACGAGATTGAAGCAGTGATCAAAAACCTCCCAGAAAACAAGAGTCCAGGGCCTGATGGATTCCCTGGGGAATTCTACCAAACATTCAAAGAAGAAATAACACCTATTCTCCTGAAGCTGTTTCAAAAAATAGAAACAAAAGGAAATCTTCCAGACTCATTCTATGAGGCCAGCATTACCTTAATCCCCAAACCAGGCAAAGACCCCATCAAAAAGGAGAATTTCAGACCAATCGCCCTGATGAATATGGATTCCAAAATCCTCAACAAAATCCTAATAGGATCCAACAATACATTAAAAGGATCATCCACCACGACCAAGTGGGATTTATCCCCTGGCTGTGAGGGTGGTTCAACATTCGCAAATCAATCAATGTGATAGAACACATTAATAAGAGGAGAAAGAAGAACCATATGGTCCTCTCAATTGATGCAGAGAAAGCATTTGACAAAATACAGCATCCTTTCCTGATTAAAGCTCTTCAGAGTATAGGGATAGAGGGAACATGTCCTCAAGTTCATAAAATACATCTATGAAAAACCCAAAGCAAATATCATCCTCAATAGGGAAAAGCTGAGAGCCTTTCCCTTAAGATCAGGAACACGTCAAGGATGCCCACTCTCACCACTATTGTTCAACATAGTACTAGAAGTCCTGGCAACAGCAATCAGACAACAAAAAGAAATAAAAGGTATTCAAATTGGCAAAGAAGAAGTCAAACTCTCTCTCTTTGCAGATGATAAACGTGGAAAACCCAAGAGACTCCACCCCCAAATTACTAGAACTCATACAGCAATTCAGTAATGTGGCAGGATACAAAATCAATGCACAGAAATCAGTTGCTTTCTTATACACTAACAATGCAACTGTAGAATGAGAAATTAGAGAAATGATTCCATTTACAATAGCACCAAAAACCATAAGATACCTCAGAATAAACCTAACCAAAGAGGTAAAGTATCTATACTCTAGGGACTACAGAACACTCATGAAAGAAATTGAAGAAGACACAAAAAGATGGAAAAACATTCCATGCTCATGGATGGGAAGAATAAACATTGTTAAAATGTCTATGCTGCCCAGAGCAATCTATACCTTCAATGCCATCCCGATCAAAATTCCAATGACATTTTTCAAAGTGCTGGAACAAACAATCCTAAAATTTGTATGGAATCAGAAAAGACCCCGAATCGCCAAGGAAATGTTGAAAAAGAAAAACAAAGCTGGGGGCATCACGTTGCCCTATTTCAAGCTATATTACAAAGCAGTGATCACCGAGACCGCATGGTACTGGCACAAAAACAGACATATAGACCAATGGAACAGAATAGAGAACCCAGATACGGACCCTCAACTCTATGGTCAAATAATCTTCAACAAAGTGGGAAAAAATATGCAATGGAAAAAAGACAGTCTCTTCAATAAATGGTGCTGGGAAAATTGGACAGCTATATACAGAAGAATGAAACGCGACCATTCTCTAACACCCTACACAAAGATAAACTCAAAATGGATGAAAGACCTCAATGTGAGATAGGAATTCATCAAAATCCTAGAGGAGAACATAGACAGTAACCTTTGCAAATGACACTGCCGATAAAGGGCTGATATTCAAGATCTATAAAGAACTTCTCAAACTCAACACCCAAAAAAACAAATGATCAAGTCACAAAACAGGCAGAAGACATGAACACTTTTATAAAGAAGACATACAAATGGCTAATAGACACATGACAAAATGTTCATCATCGTTAGCCATCAGGGAAATTCAAATCAAAACCACACTGAGATACCACCTTACACCAGTTAGAATGGCAAAAATTGGCAAGGCAAGAAACAAATGTTGGAGAGGTTGTGGAGAAAGGGGAACCCTCTTACACTGTTGGTGGGAGTGCAAGTTGGTACAGCCACTTCGGAAAACAGTGTGGAGGTGCCTCAAAAATTTGAAAATACAACTACCCTATGACCCAGCGATTGCACTCCTATTTACCCCAAAGACACAGATGTAGTGAAAAGAAGGGCCATATGCGCCCCAATGTTCACAGCAGCAATGTCCGCAATAGCCCAACTGTGGAAAGAGCCGAGATGCCCTTCAACAGATGAATGGATAAAGAAGATGTGGTCCATATACACAATGGAATATGACTCAGCCATCAGAAAGGATGAATACCCAACTTTTGCATCGACATGGACGGGACTGGAGGAGATGATGCTAAGTGAAATAAGTCAAGCAGAGAAAGTCAATGATCATATGGTTTCACTTCTTTGTGGAACATAAGGAACAGCAAGGAAGACATTAGGAGAAGGAAGGGAAAAATGAAGGGGGGGAATCGGAGGGGGAGACGAACCATGAGAGAGGATGGACTCTGAGAAACAAACTGAGGGTTCTAGAGGGGAGGGGGGTGGGGGATGGGTTAGCCTGGTGATGGGTATTAAAGAGGGCACGTTCTGCGTGGAGCGCTGGGTGTTATGCACAAACAATGGATCGCAGATCACTACATCAAAAACTAATGTACTGTATGGTGACTAACATAACATAATAAAATTAAATTAAAAAAATAAAAATAAAAGCTGGGAAAGAGTATTAAAGCTAATTTGCTGGGATCGGAACCTACACTTCCTCCTTTCTTTTAGTAAATACATCAGTGTGTTTTGTGACGTTTTTCATCAGTTTTGTGATTTCGCTCTTCCTTTTTTCCTTGTAGTCCTTTATACCAGGGCTGAGGAGGGCAAACCACACTAACATACTGCTGAGGAACGCTTTTCCCTTTTCCAGCTCCAAATAACGCAATGAAAGGACAGAAAACCGTGTCATGAGTCGAACCCAGAAAAAAAAAAAAAAGGTGAGGTGGGTTAAAAAGTTATTTCGCCCTCGGCCTCAAGGGGGAGAAACCAAGTCTCTGCGGAGGTGCGCGGAGCGGGGACCGGGACGTGGCAGGACCAACAGGGAGCGCGTCCAGCCACAGCGGCGGCTGGGAGGGGTGCCAGTCGTGGGCAGGGCTGGAAACCAGGAGCGGGAGGCCGCTGGGGGGAGGGCTTCAGGGACACCAGACGTTCCTAAGGGGTGCGCTGGGGAGCGGAACTCAAGGGCAGGGGGCCTTCAGGGCGCTGGAGAAGGACGGGCTCAGACCAGGCGCCACAAAGGCGAGCGGAACTGCTGTGGGACTGGCAGAGAGGGAGGGGACACCGTCCCCTTCACCTGTCAATCGCGGCGGGCCCGGGCTCTGCTGGACTCCTCGGTTACACGGCAGACGGAAACGACGCGACTCCACTTCCGTTCTGACCCGCCTCGAGGCCCCGCCCCTAGCCCCGCCTCCCTTAGCGCCGCCCCCTAGGCCCTGCCCTTTCCTCCACCCACACCTCGGTCTCCAGGGGATCCCAAACGGAAAAAAATGTTATAGCTGAACCTGTGAGCTCACACTGCGATTATTAATGGCTTTGAGGCAAAGGATTTCGAAAGGGAAACCAAAGTGAACTTCTGCGAATTGGGGCTAAACTTATTACAAAGTCTGGTCACTTCCACCAATGACTTTGAAGATGTGGGAGAAACACGCAAAGTCTTTCATATTTAAGTAATTTATTCATTTGTAAATAAGAAAACGGATCCTTTTAGTGATTTGGCATCTAGTGCTCAGGATGAAAGAATGAGTGACAGGTGATTGGAGTCCAGTGCTATTTCTAAATTTAAGCTCTTTAGCTGGTAAAGCCTAAACCAGTCTTATTTTACTTTTTTAAATTGAGGTATAATTGACATGTACCATACATTAGTTTCAGGTGTACAACATGATTTGGTACTTGTTTATATTGCTAAATGATCACTACAATAAGTGTAGTTAACCTCTGTCACCATAGGTAGTTACAGCAAAACCAGTATAATGGTGACCTGAACCAGCTAAGACACTGTACTTTGTGTATTTTCACCTGACATAAGAGAAAATAATGGTGTCAAGCCCAATTTTCTTTCCTCATAATATTAGATTTCTATGTACTAGGGACTGAGTGGTAGTGATAGAAGTTTTGGTTCATTTATTCATGAAGACACAATAAAATTAAAATTAGACCAACACAGTTACAGAAATACCAGGGCTATAGGTGGTTACAATCTTTCTTATTTTTCTAAAGATTATTTATTTGAGAGAGAGAAAGAGAGGGAGAGAGCACCTGTGAAAGCAGGGGGAGGGGCAGAGGGAGAGAGAAAATCTCAGACTCCCCACTGAGACTGGAGCCCACACGGGGCTCAATCTCAGGACACTGAGATCATGACCTGAGCCGAAACCAAGAGTCGCCACTCAATCCACTGCGCCACCCAGGTCCCCTGGTGGTTACAGTCTTTCTTAAAAACAGAAATTATCTTTTTCAAAATTTTATTTAGAAAATTTACTTTATGTAAAAAGTGTATATAATATGTCCCATGATATAAAATTCTAGACAGAGCAGATTTAAAAACAGCATAATGGAAAATATAAATATCCATTTTCTTATGTATATCTTTTGTGCACTTACAGTCTTTTCCTAGGTTTACATTTTTCTTTATTTTACAATCTGATTTTCTTACTTGTAGCAAAAACAAATATCATAGACAGGTATATAGCAAAAAGTAAAAATTCCCTTCTCTCCATCTCTTCCTCAGATAGTGGTAAAATCCTTCCAAACTTTCAACCATACAAATATATTTTTGTTTATTACATTCATGGTTTCACATTATACATGTTGTTCTGTAACTTAGTTTTTTCACTGAATACTGTAATGGAAATCTTTCATGATAGTACATTTAGAGCTACTTTTTAAAAATAGTTGTATTACATTACTTTATATATCAATAACTATTTAGCCAGTTCCCTCATGAAATCAAGGTGCTTCCAACATTTTACTAATAAAAATAATACAGCAACAAACATGCTGGCAGCTTATTTAGATAAATGCACTTATTGTATTTACCTGCATACCCCTCTCTTCCTTTCAAAAATCAGATTTTTTTAAGTTGAAGTATTGAAAACAACTAATGGAATATGTAGATATTGTGTGAATTCGAAGGGAAAAAATCAGGGTTTTAGTAAAACGATTTTATTAAGTTATATTCGTGTCAACAAACCAGAAAGCCACACAAAAATAACTTTTTAAAGACTATGACTGAGCTGGGCAGATGGAAAATTATCTAGATTGACTGCTGACTCCCTATGAAATTTTTTGAGAGTTCCACTTACTTTCTCAAACACATCCTTTCCTGTTCCAAGCTCAGAAGCTGTGTGGTGTATCTCAGTTCACTTTTAACTATCAGGCTTGTTTGGCAGCAAATGATAGACATTTTAAAAATTTAAGATATTTCTCACAAGATGCCATCAGCCACAAGGAAGGACCTGGGGTTGGTGGGCAGGCTGGTGTGAAGGAAGGCAAATTTTCTTTCAATAATCTCAGCTTTGACAAGCCCCAAACTCCATGTACAATATATGCAGGACATGGATTCATTAGTGTATGGTCCTAGTACAGCTGCCCTTTATTTTATACTCGTGACCTTGTATTTTTGTGGGTGTACAATTGGTGGGTGTTTTCCTTGGGTACTTGGTTTTGATGACACTGTTCTCCTAAATGTGGTTTTGCTCTTGTCTAGTTACACAATTCTGTGTTCTTCTTGAACCTTCATAAAAGGATATGACTACTTTAAAGTGGTTACATTGTTTCTCAGATTAAGTAAATATTTCAATTAGGGGAGTAAATATTTTCATACTGGGAGTGTAGCTAGCTCTTGCTTTGGGAGTGTGTCCTTTAGTGGAGTGAATCTTGGATTGGTGGTTTTACAAGGAGTGTGTAATGAATTTCTGGGCTATAAGGCTTAAGTTTTGACCCTGTCCAAAAAGGCAAAGGAAATTTCCAAAGTTTTTCTTGTAGCAATTCACTGAAACAGAGGAGGGGTGCACTCAGGATGCTTGCCTTTCTTATCAGCTTATTGGTGAATTCCCAAGGTACCAGGCTTACTGCTGTTTCTGGCAGATGTTTTCACGTGTCCCTTTTAAAGATTCAAAAAAGTAGTAGCGATCCCCATCTGAGTGTAGTTATCTTCCATCTATTCAATACATAGATAATGAGTGGTACCCACAGAAAGTTCTCATCTACTAATAATTGTGTTGTCCTTGATGGGTGTACCACCCAGATAGATTGGGAATTACTAGCTTATGGCATAATTTCTCCTTAATTTTGTCTCAGGCCTTGATAAAACTTAGCTAAAAAGATATGAGTGAGCTTTAAAAAAACGTGGCCTCCACAGTCTCCAAGCTACCTTTAACAAGGGAGCCATCAGGCTTTTCTTCCTTAATTATTCTTATCAGACCTTCCAAAAGGAGGCTTGCTATTACTCAATGTCCAAAGCAGCTTGTAGGAGGCGAAATTACGCAATAAGAGGGGAAGAACCCTGCACAAACATTTTTTCTTCATAATTGGAAGAGGGACAGGGAAAGTGAACAAGGGATAGAAACAAACTAAGAAATATGGTGTAAATAATTTCATAGTGATTTCTTTTTTTTTTCATAGTGATTTCTATTTTGGCAAGCCTCTCTATGACCCGCAAGTTTTCTGTTTAGAGCAACTGTGATATTGATAGCCGTCTTTACACAAAAGAAAATAATATTCAAAGAGGCCTGTACTACTTGCTCTCATCTTGCTCTGCCAGTCCACGTGAGTCTCCTCGACTGCGCTGCCCACAGCGCAGCCTCTGTCTGAAGGCTTGCATTCCATGTTTCACTGGCATTCACAGGAGTGTCCGTGTGAGCTGACTTAAAGCTCTTCTCTGAAAGGTCCTTCCCGGTGACACTGGCACAGGGACGTGTTATCATCTGGCTGAGGAACAAGTTCCATCTTATCACGTATTTTGGGTCTACTGGACTGGCGCTCAGCGTATTTCTGAAATGCGTGTTTGAAGGCAACTGAAAGATTAGTCCATGCTTCATTCCACTGGACCCTCCCTACCCCACTCAGGCCAGTGTTTCTAGCTGCTGTGTATCTTGAGACTAAAAACCAAAGGTCTGGTTTATTCCGGTCCTGAAGTTGCATTTTAACTTCAGGTTTTATAGGCACTAAGTGCAATATTTCAGAATCTAACAAGGAACCCCAATCCACAGTTGCATGTGTACCTAGGAAGCCTCCACAAAAGGCATGTCAAGCCAAGGGTCCCTACTTGAAATAGTGGCACCTCTTGGCATTTATCCTCCACTTATTAATGAATAATTACATTTGTTGAACACTCAAATCAACCAACAGAGATGATAAGCATCTCAAAATAAAGCTGGCAGTCCCACACACCCTTCCCTTTAGGCTCATAGTCACATACGTTTTGTAAATGGTGACAGACCTGTGTAATGTCCCTCTACTTTAGCCACTGACTGAAATATTCCTATAAATTAGATTTTGATTCAGTGGTTCTATATACATTTAGCTGTAGATTCCTGGTATTGGGCCAAACCCAACAAAACACTGACATGAGCACAGGAACCTAATGAGTATTTTAGAGGGAGAAACTCCTACTATTAATATTATAGGTAGACTAACAGAGGGTGTACAATTCATTCAAGGGAAAGGCTGACTTTAGTAAATGGTGAAATTTATCATTTTTATTTTTCTATGAGAGGGTAATATCCACAGGCATCTGAAGAAATGTGCTTTTTTATCTGTCCACAGAAAAATAAGTTTAGGTTAAAAACAAAAAAGCATTATTTCTTTTTTTCTTCTCTTCCTGTCTAGAATTTACTATGTGAAACACAAGATAGTTACCCAAAGAACCAATTCTTAGATTTTCAATAAACATTTGCACTTCAGTAATTAGGCCTGAAGTGTTAAAACCATTATAAATATATTTCACTTGTTTGTTTCCTACAGCAAGCTAAATATCTGCTGTCCATCCTACACTGTGATAGCAAAAGCATGAATCTTAAGTAGTAAGAACGAAGAGGCAGACCTTTTGAGTAGAGAGATGTTAATGATCTCTAGTCCAACCCCCTTATTTGGTCTCTGAGGTTCAGAAAATACCCAAATTAGGAATTCCATAAGGCATTTCATAAAAAGACTGGGGAGGTAGGAGGAGCTTTTAATTTGTATTTGCAAGGGTTCTATGCATTGTTTTTCATAATAGTGAGTGGAGATACAAATATGGAGACCACAAAAGGTCTCAGCACTATTCCCATCTCTCCATGGGCTGGGCCAGTGCTCAGCTTCCGGAGAGTTCCACTGGCTGACGCTCTGAGTCCTTTCAGGAAGTGAGGCACTCAGGCCCTGCATGGTATGTGAGGATGCCTGAGCAGGGGGGGAGGGGGTGTAGGGAGGAGATGGCCGGTAGGAACTAACCTGGAGCACTCTATAATAATAGCAGTAAACCCGGTGCGGCTGCAGCAGCTCCCTAGCAGCCAACTGCCCTTCTTTAGCAATCTTCTTGGCTTCTTCATCATTTTCCTGAAAAGGTTAAACACACACACACACACACACACTGAATGAAGAGTACTCCTGTGACCCCCCCAAAGAAGGCTACAGGTGAGTATGAAGCAGGACAGAGATGGGGTTGAATGTGACCAGCATGGGATGTGGGGCATGAGGAAGATAATTCGGAGCGAAGCTCTGAGAAATCGCCAAGGCACCTTCCTAGAGGCCTGTGTTACACAGAAGTGGTCACACATGTTTGGACCCTGGTCCACAGGCCCGAAGTGCCCTCCCCGCCATACGCACATCAGACATGCAGTCTCTCTTGTGACTACCCCTAGTACTGCCCTGGCTACCCGAGAAATTTAGGGCTCATCCTCTGTTCCCCCAACCTATAGCCTCTCTGCTTGATATTAAAATACAATCTGGAGTAGAATGAATCCTTTTTCATGTTATAATGTCTCTTAAAAACTCCATTTTAATATGCAGTCAGAGCCCAAAAGTTGTCATAAAATGGTACCTATGAAGGCTTATTGCTGTAATCATAAATTCAGCCATTAGCACCCACAGGCTGTTCCTTCAGTACCAGGAACGGTCACTGTTTCTAATTATACTTTGGAAAATAGCTAATACTCTACTGTGTTGCCCTTTAGAAAAGTCACTGACAAGCAATCCTGACTCTTTATAAAGGGTCACAGAAATGATTCCGCCTCAGGCACCTAGTCATTTGCATAACTGAATATTGCTTTTCAGAAACTTAGAAATAGAATGAAGTCTTACCCACGGAAGGGTAAATTTTTATAGTTTCATAATAAAACACAACAGCTTTGTAATATGTTTCCTTTTAAAAAAAAGAATTCTTATTTTATGGGAAACTTGTGATTCTTGGGATGTTGTATATAGCATGCATTCATTGTGCCTTTTTCCTAACTGGAGAAAAGAAGAGGGTATCATAATTGCCTCCAATGTCTTCTTGTGCATAGCGCACTCTAGCCCTGGGATTTTCAATCTGTCATTTGCATGTGGTGTGTTTTTGCTTGTGTGTATATGCATGAATAGTGATTCCTTCAGAAAAACCTATATTCTACATAATGATTGTCTTTAAATCTTCTAAATCTTCTAAAAACCCTCCAAAATGTTGATAAAGGGTATTAAAATGATCCTGTTGATTCTTTAGATATTTCAAGGGAACAAAAATTTCAGGAAATAACATTTCTTTTGACTAAATTATATCCAGTTAAATTGGGTCATGATGGAATTCATGTAAATAATCTTGGTAAGTTTGTTATTGCCTCAAGAAATTAAAATTGCAGTAAACTTACCTTGGCCCACTTAACTTTCTCTAGTAAATCACTAAGATTTCTTTTAATTGGAACATAATGTTTCCAAGGCTTTAGTGCCATATAGAAATGTTCATAATATGTCGAGTCCTGCTTCAAAACCAAACTGTCGCCCAGCATGAGGTACGGATATCTATAAGCCGCCACAGTCCCATCCACATTCACTTGATACTTGTACTGAAAGAGTAAAACAAACATAAACAAAGGAAACACTTAACAGCCATTTGCTTCGCTTCTGCTTGTCATCAACACTGTCATACTACATATAAAAGAATTATTTTCCACGTTCCGACTTCAGTGTTTAAAAGTTTTATACGTTATTTCGTACCTCACATTTTCTCTTTGTATTGAAATCATAAACAGCCTTGAGCAGGCTGATTTTAAGAAATACAATGCGTTTAAGGATAAGACAAATAATTTTAGGAAATAGGAATACCTATTTCAACTCTATGTAATGGATTCAGGTTTCTGTGACCTGGGAGGAAAATGTTTCAAAGGCTGTAGGTTTATTAAAGCTGACTCCTGGTAACAATTTACACTTTCATGTATACATTATTTCATTGGTTCCTTCTTCCCAGGTAAGTATGAAAAAGGAAAGCCTTATCTCCAGTGTTCAGTTCTAGAGTCGAGGAGACAGAAACCTGGAGAAGTTTAGGGACGGTGTGATGCTAGCCACACAAGATGTACCCCGTTTACCCATTTGCTGGATTAATAAGCCTCGCTTTACATTTCAAATTCACTTTTCATGGGAATTAAACCTCACTTGATCATAGTAATGTGAAGCAAGTATTATCATAAGCTCTTTTTTTTCTCTTTTTGCAAATGAGAAAATCAGTGTTCAGGTAAATTTATAAACCTCTATTCTCTGAGCTCAAATCCAATGTTCTTTTCATTATAACACACTGAAAAGAACAGGATATACTCACGGATTTAGTCATTAATATTTTCTTGAATAATCGGTACCAAAGAGTTTTCTAGCCAGTCAGATTTTGTCACATTGTTCACATCCCTATCATCACGACACAAGTTTATCACTTCATATCCATACAAGAAGACAAAAATGCATACCTTAAAGAAATCAAAGAAACCTATCAATTTAGCTTTTCCAAGCTCCTTTTCTTTCTCTTGGAAAAAGAAATATCCTGTAATTCCTGCATCTAGGAGCTCTGGATTTTCCTTGGACAGCTGTACCAACTGGAGCCTCTCTTCTCGGCTATCCCTACCTCTGAAGAAAGCTTTCTCTGTTTTATTGATCCAGGAAGGCCCTAGAAGTTTGAAGCCATAAAAAAAATACGATTATGAACTTGACATTTATAAAAACCGTTAGCATACTCATCTGTAATCTACCACTATCATTTAAGATATTAAAGCTCTTTGATCATCAACTCATCTTCTAAAAAAAGGTGCTATCTCCAAAAAATATGGGATCCAGTACCTTGCCTGAGATACTTTTCAGTTCAGACTTTTAAAAACAGTCCTTTTATTTGCTGTATCACATAAAAGAATGCTCCAATTTCACCTATTTTTTTTTAGATTTTATTTATTTATTTGACAGAGAGAGAGAGAGAGAAAGAGCACAAGCAGGGGGAGCGGCAGACAGAGGGAGAAGCAGGCTCCCTGCTGAGCAAGGAGCCCAATGGAGAACTCGATCCCAGGACCCTGGGATCATGACTTGAGCTGAAGGCAGACACTTAACCAACTAAGCCACCCAGGCATCCCTAATTTCACCTGTTTCTCTACCTGTGAGAGCTCACTTTTTGGATTGTCTGTTGTATGACATTAGGAGATATCCAAAATAACACTGGACCAAGTTCAAAGCAAAAGACATTCAATGACTTGGCCCACTCACAAGCTTCTTCCATTCTTTGTGCTTCACAATAAAAAAAATGGCTTTTGTTCTTAGATTGGGTGACCAGGACAAACTATGTAACTAAGTAACATCCACATCTTTAATCCCTAGGTTGTTCATAATTTTGAGCACATCACTTCTGAATACGGGGAAGACTTTGTCTAATAAGCTGTGAAATGAAAACATGAATATATAGCCCAACTGTGTGTGTGTGTGTGTGTGTGTGTGTGTGTGTGTGTGTGTGTATCTTTCTAGATAGTATTCTAGAAGAATTAATTTGTCTATTTCTATTATTCTAAAGAGAGGTCATTAGTTAACACCTGTTACTATTTGAAGGGATAAATCATAAAACAGAAACTGGAGGGGGTCACTCTCTCTGGTATTTTAGCACACTTCCCAGGAATTCACTGTTACCCAATAAAAAGTCAGTTTTCATTTTATGTTATCTTTAGGTAGTCTGCAAAGAGTCTCTGGTCGCATCTACTAAACGAGTCTACCAAATCACAATAAACAGGAACAGAGGTTGTAAAGACAGGCAGCGTTTATTCTATTCAGGGAGTCTGGTTTAATTCTAGAGCGTGTTATGCCATAAATGTAAAGCCATCAAAGGGGGGGGAGGAATTCAGATTTTGAAGGATCAAGCAAGGCAGAAAGAGGAAAGGGGAAAATTCCTTACTAAGTGTTGGAGGTAGTAATACCCAAATTCTGCTGCTACCATAATTCTCTCACATCCACATATCATTTTATATTTTTCAAAATGCTCTCTTCAGCAATATAAGGGCATTGAAGTCAGCATTAAGTGACAATTTTACCAAATATATATTTTCAAATGGTATTTACAAATGACCAACTCAAAGGAGACTCAGTTACAGTAGTTTTGGACAACTAGCCCAACCCACATATCTAATTTTTGGATTAGAAGAATCTTACACTGCTCTTTCTTCTTGGTTAGAAAATAAGAACAATGGTATTTAAATATATACCTTTGTTCTCTCCAACTGAACATTCTCTTTTTACCTCTGTTTTTCCTTTGAGAATAAACTTTAATTTACCTGTATTTCCCTGAATAGAGAGGAGATCATTGGTGACACCCCTCATCGCTTCGAGTGTGGAGTGGGTGATGTCATACGTTGGAAGGATAACATCCCGTGAATCCAAGGAGCCACACCATGAAATGATAGGTAAAGGGCCAGGGGTTTCATTCACTTTTCGATGCTCCAGAGGCCAATCTCCAAGATTAATATAAAATTCTATATCGGGGAGAAGGACCTAAATAAACAAAAGAAGAAACATGAGTGCTGGGAAGACCTCAGTTTTAGGTACTAAATGCTTCCATTCTTTGGCTTCTTAAAATATGCCTGATAAAAGTGAACATGTGAAAACAGCAGAAGAGAGAAGAATGCCTCTCAGTCATCAGCAGTATCAGAAAATCAAGGGTGAGGATGGTACATGGCAAATTCACTTAACCAGGAGGAAGTGCCCTTTGTTCAGAGGTGGCATTTAAAATTGCTTAGTGTTGGGGCGCCTGGGTGGCTGAGTAGGTTAAGTGTCTGCCTTTAGCTCAGGTCATGATCCCAGGGTCCTGGGATCAAGCCCCAAATTGGGCTCCCTGCTCAGTGGGGAGTCTGCTTCTCCCTCTGCCCCTCCCCCTGCTTGTTCCCTCTCTCTCTCGTTCTCTCTGTCAAACAAATAAATAAAATCTTTTAAAAAAATTCCTTAGTATTGGGGTGCTCAGCTGGCTCCGTTGGTGGAGCATCCAACTCTTGATGATGGGGTCGAGCACCATGTTGGGCACAGAGATTACTTAATAAAAAAATTTTTTAATTATCAAAATTGCTTATTATTATAGAAGTGGACATGGTATGGAAAGGTACGCATAAGTGGCTTCAAGAACCCTTTCTGTCAGCTGCCTGAGAATCGACAAGGTTAGAGCCAAGCACTTCTTTTCCTTCACTATCAAACCTCCACATCATGTCTACCTTTGCTTCTGGATTCTGCCACTCCGTGTGCATCCCCATGGTCAGTGCCTTACATGAGGCCCTTCTCTCATTTCTCGCCTGGATTGTTGCAGGAGCTTGCTCACTAGGTGTTCTGCTACTAGGCTCTCCCCACTCTGATCTGCTTTCACCTTGCTGCCCAAATTCCTTTTTTTTTTTAAAAAAAAAAACAAGAATTTATTTATTTATTTGACAGCGAGAGAGGGAACACAGCAGGGAGCCCGATGTGGGGCTCGATCCCAGGACCCTGGGATCACGACCTGAGCCGAAGGCAGACGCCTAACGACTGAACCACCCAGGCGCCCCTTGCTGCCCAAATTCCTAAAACCCAACTTAATGTCACCACCAAGGTCAACGAAACCTAAAGCCTGCAGGACAAGGTTTAAAGTCCCTGGCCAGAAAGCAAGGCCCTGTTACCATTTTCCACCGGAGCGTGGGCTGGTAAACTTTAGGCTACTCTCTGAAAATGTGACCCACTCTCCCATGTACTTCCCTTCTCACTTGGAATATTCTTCCCCTACTTATTCACTTGGCAGTCTCCTTTCTCGTCCTTCGAACCCAGACCGAATGTCACCTCCTCGATGGCTCGCCCTCCTCAGGCAGTTCCACCTGGGGGGCCTGCTTTTCTTACAGGCCTATCACGTTGAGGTGCGACTATTTGTATTCACATCCTACCTCTAACTTCCAAATAACAAAAAGCAAGTCCCACTAGAGTAGGCCGCTCAAAGTCCAGAGATGAGTCTCATTTATTTTGGATTTCTTCCCAGCCACTGGGCAAAGAACCTAGAACAAGAGGGAAGGCCAAGGGGTGTGACAATTCACCCTCCTCGCTTCCCTACTCTCATTTATCAGCTCGTTAATAAACTCCACACCAGGAGTTCTCACTATAGAACAGGGTTTCTCAATCTCAGTAGGATCAACATTTGGGTCTGGTAATTCTTTGCTGTGGGGGCTGTTTTGTGCACTGTAGGATGTTTACTAGCATCCATGGCCTCCACAGACCGGGTGCTAGTAGCAACCCCGAGTTGTGACAACCAAAACTGTCTCTAGACATCGCCCAACATCCTCTAAGGGACAAATTCGTCACTAGTAAATCCACTGCCATTGTGAGTACAAGGTGGAAATACCGGGCAGTAGGCCAGGAAGAAAGCCCCTCCTTTATGATCAAGTATCTTAAATATGCTCATATAGTGTGCTATGGGGATGGTGCGGGGGGGGGGCTGCTATTTAAAATAAGAATTAAAAAATAATAATAATAAAATAAAATAAGAATTGATTGCAACCCCACATTCAGCACACTTGGGAAATTGTATACCTCATATCACCGAAGTTGACTTTTGGTTTAGAAAACTACCCTGACAGTCTTTCTGGGTGGGAAAGGCAGAAAATGCTCATCCTTACCCTTCACTCCGCATGGTCAGGAAGGAGGAAGAACAAAAGGCAATTTGAGCTGCTCTGCTTAAGAGTGCAGTAAATGTGGAAAGAAGGGTTCAGTAGCGGGGTGGGGGTGCGGGAAATTGAGAAGTCTTCTGAGAGACAGAGGCCCAGCTGTATTCACGAAGAAGCCAAGACCTGAAGCCCGATGACGGGCAGTGAGTAATTCCCAGAGGCAAGGATGACTGAGTCTGATTAATACAGGGATGTTTATTTTTAAATGTTAGGGTTTTTGTTGGACTGCTTTTTACTATGCAATGGTACAAAAATAACCTCTCTGTTACTAGAATCTTCAACAAAATGTGCCATGCATGCTATCTTTTGAGGCGCTTAGGGTAAAACAAGGAAAAAGTGGTCAAAGTTCAAGTCATTTTCAGGTGGTAAGGACAAAACAGCTGCGGAAACTGGTATCTGAATGGGAGGAGTATTCACCACAACAGAGAATTTCAAGAAGTGACCTTGAGGGGCACCTGAGTGGCTCAGCCGGTTAAGCATCCGACTCTTGATTTCTGCTCAGATTGTGATCTCAGCGTTGTGAGAATGAGCCTTGCACCAGGAATCCACACTCAGCAGGGAGCCTGCTTGAGGATTCTCTCTCTCCCTCTCCCCCTCCCACCACTCTGTGTGTCTCTCTTTCCCAAATAAATACATAAATCTCAAAAAAAAAAAAAGTGACCTTGAGGCTCAACATGTCTGGGAGTCCACAGAAACCTTGGAAGTGTTCCGTAGGACCTACTTGCCTGAGATGGGGGCTCAAGCCACTTAATTTACAGGAAAGAAAGATCCATAAAGGGGGGAGACTTTATGAACACTCAGGTAGTGGACATCTTAAATTCACATTTCCAAGCTTAGAATCCATTTCCATCCTTTGCCACTGTTCTAAGCATCTCAAAGTTACAATGAAATAAGTAAACTCCAGTTCGCCCTTGAACAATGTAGGGGTTAGAGGTGCCGACACCCGCACAGTCTAAAATTTGTGTATAAATCCTGAATCTCCCAAAACTTAACAACTAGTAGCCTACTATCGACCAATAACATAACAGTTGATTAACACATTTTTGTATGTTATGCGTATCATATACTGTGTTCTCACTATAAAATCAGCTAGAGAAAAGAAACTGTTAATTAAGAAAATCATAAGGAAGGAGCGTCTGGATGGCTCAGTCGTTAAGCGTCTGTCTTCGGCTCAGGTCATGATCCCAGGGTCCTGGGATGGAGCCCCACATCAGGCTCCCTGCTCGGCGCAAAGCCTGCTTCTCCCTCTCCCGCTCCCCCTGCTTGTGTTCCCTCTCTCGCCATCTCTCTCACTGTCAAATAAATAAATAAAATCTTTAAAAAAAAAAAAGAAAATCATAAGGAAGAGAAATACTATTTACAGTACTGTCATGTATTTATAAAAAAATGCCCATGTATAAGTGCACTCATGCAATTCAAACCCGTGTCATTTAAGGGTCAACTCTGTATTGTTTCCAGAACCAGTGAATTTATTCTTATACCTTTCTTGCCAGTGACAGCAAAATCTCGTCCGAGAACATTTTGAAGTCTGTGTATTTCCCTAAAGATCTCCGGTAGACACGGTTATTGAGAATCGTGTAGTGAACAATGGCACCCCTCTCATCCCCAAACCTTTTTGGAACCTCATTTAGCATCTGCTGGAGATTGATGCTGGGGAAGGAAGCGAAATCCTTTGCAATCTGTGGTTCCCTGGTTGGACAAGAAAGAGTTCTCTGCCAGGCCTGAGGATCCTCTTCAGGACACTCACAGTACTCATGGTACACTGGTCCTAGGGAAGACAAAGACATGAGTAATGCCATACTCCATTAACAAACACCTCCACACAGGGGGTTGTTTCTGCCCCTGATAGGAACACGGGATGACTTCTTGCTGAATTCGAAGATTCTCCAGACAGGGATAATATATATTTATATTATATATTTAATATTTAATATAGTTATAATATATAAGTTAATATATTATATATTAATTATATATAATTAAAACTATTTTAAATATAATAATATAATATGTTAAATATAAATATGTTTAATATTTAATAAATGTATTTAAATATATTTAACTTAATATAAAGTATAAAGATTAACATAATTTTATAAAAACTTTAAAAAATTATTTATGTTTCTTGAGGATTTCTACTTCAGACCAAGATGAGTAATATGGACCAATTTACCATTCTACCTGAAACTACCAAAAAAAGAGGCAAAATATATGAAACAGTTTTTAAGCCACCGGACACGAGGCAGTGAGGGACCGTGAGTCTGAGAGATGGGAAATAGATGAGATGAGCCCTACAGTTTATAAACTTACTGCCTAAGGGGGTTTCCAGGTTATGGAAACAGGGAGAAATGTAGGCAGAGCCCAGCAGTCTCACTGAGTTGAGGGGACAGAGCTGGGTGTCCAGGGAGAACAAGGCAGCTGGTATTTGTAGGACACGTTCCCTGAAAGGAGAGAACCACACAGCCAGAAAACTCCAGAGATCTGCAAAAGGTTCCCCTTCAAGTATTTAGGGTTTCTGAGGAGTGTATATAGGCAAGGAAATTATCCAAGACAGGGAAAGAACATCCAGAATGATCGGACGCAACAATACCCACTGGTCATACAGGGTTGGGAACAGTACCTGTTCACAGCAGGCCGACTGGGAAGCATCCTAATTGCTGGGCCTTAGGCTAGAGTAGGCAGAGAGGTATTGCCTGAGTGGTGGGGAATAATTAGCCCTAGACTAAACATGGTTCTGGTCTTGCCTAATGAATTGTAAAAGCAATTTGAAAGGTTCAAATTATTTCCAAGTAATTTCACTGCATTCCAGAAAAACGATCAAGAAGATGAGAGAGCAACAAGAGATGAAAAATACACTGGATACAATTAATGGCAAGTTGGACATTGCAGAAGGAAAGATTAGGGAACTTAATGATGCAGCAATAGAAAGTATACAAAATGAAATGGAGAAAAAAAAAGAATTTTAAAAATGAAAAGAGCATCACCGAGCTGTGGGATAATTTCAAGCCTGATATAGGGGTAACTGGAATTGTGGGAGGAACTCTGGAGTAGAACAGAAAAAAAGTACTGAAGAAATAACAGCCAAAATTTCTCTGGATTTAATGAAAACTATAATCCCAAAGATCTAAGAAGCTCCAAGAACCCAAGCACAAGAAACATGAAGGAAATTACACCAAAGCACGTAATAATCAAATTGTTCAAGAGACTTAAAGAGAAAACCTTGAGCAGTATAGAGGAACAGCAGATATGCTGGACGTCAGCAGATACACTGTTGCAAAAAATGCAAGTAAGAGGACAGTGCAGTAACATCTTTAAGGAGACAAAACCAACCCTGTTAATCTACAATTCTATATTTAGTAAAAATGTCTTTCAAAAATGAAGGCAAAATAAAGACTCTTCCAGACATTCAAAAGCTGGGAGAACTCATCACCAGCATTCTCACACTAAAAGAAACGATAATGGGGATCGTTGAGCAGAAGGTAAATGGTACTAGAAGGAACTGTAGATCTATATAAAAGAATGAAGAGTGCCAGACATGTTAACTACCTGGGTAAATACACAAGATTTTCTTGCTTATCGTTCAAATTTCTTTAGTTTTTTTCCCCACAAAATTCCAAGTTAAATTGAGCTCCAGGAGGAGTGCCTGGCTGGCTTGGTCAGTAGAACACGTGACTCTTGATCTTGGGGTAGCGAGTTTGAGCCCCATGTTAGGTGCAGAATTATTTACAATTGAACTCCAGAAGGTACGCATACCATGTTCACTCTTTTGTACATGACTTCAAGGTCATCATAAGCCATTTTGAAAGTCATGGGGTCTACACATATAAGGCTGGCTCTGGATTGTATAATATAATCACTTACCTTTCAAAATATAAGGAGACTGAGCCACATGTTCATCACCATAAAGGACCTCTACCTTCAGCCCTTCGTTGACAGTTTCATACATCCTATATCGCATCAAAAATGTCCCATCATTCCTGTCCAGAGGTTTGGGGACGTGAATCCGGACTAATTCTTTAGGTGAAAGAGATTTGATTACTACTTTGAATAGTGTTTGACCTGAAAAAAAAAATATATATATGTAACTACTATTTCATGGTTATTTTGTCTTACCAATTATTGGATAGGTGTCTCTACACCAAAGTTACTTTTTTCTCTACCATCAAAATAATAACAAAATAATTTTAGTTTGGAAGGTCCTTGAGACCAAGAACCATGTCTGGGTTGTGTCTTGAAACCAAAGATCTGAGTCAACATTTGATTCATTAGTCATTCAATAAAGATATACTGAATGAAAAAAATCAGTACTTTAAAAAAGCAAGGAAGAGATGAACTTTTTGCCTCTTTGCTCTTTTCTCCTTTGGGTAGGTTTAAAGCAGCCCAGATACTTAAAAATCCAAAAACTCTTAGAATGACAGAGCTCCAAGACAATCCAACTTTCTTCTATAAAATATATACCAGCTTTCTTTGTAAACCATTTTAATACCTAATAACCCTCATTTCTAAGGAAATTTTCCTTTGGTTAACCCAAATTTCCAGTTATACTTCTAAGCCTATTTCCCTAAGTAGAGAAAGATTATAGCTAGTTACTAGACTACACAAATATCAGACACACACACACTTTCACACACCTTTGTAAATACTAGAGTTTACTTCTCTAAGCTTATTTCCTCAGGCTGAATTGAAAGTTATACTAGGACGATCTAACATCATTTTCAACTCCAAAATTCTGTGGGTTTTCTGGAAATTCTAGGGTAAGTAATACCCACTTAGTAAACTTTCCCTTCTATTTTTGTAGTATATGAGCTGACTGATTTAGGCTTTGAAACAATACTGTTGTGATTAATATCATTGTGATCCAGAAATAAATGTTGCGATATCTTTCTTCCCAGAGTCCGGTGGATGTATCTGCACTCAGCACAGATCTGATCCTCAGGAGCTTTGAGAATAAAGATCAGTTAATGTCCTAACCACAGTTAATCACTATAGCAAAGGCAAATGTTTTTTAAAAAGTGGTGAATCCTCTGAAATTCACAGACCTGGCAAAAAATAGTGGTGATAAAAGTAGTTTTTCATTTTACATCTATCATATTATCAAATTAAGCATATTTAATATATATTTTTTGAAATTACTGAAAAAATTTCTTTCTCCTACTCTTAGTTTCTAAATCTTGTGAGTGAAGTTTCTACTCTCTTTTGATCTTCAAGGGTTTTATTTTTTTCTTGTGGGTCAGGAGAGGTGTTCTTCGGTCTCTTCAATTTCATAATCGTAATGTAGTGTCTGACAACTTGCTGTTAAATAATGCATTTTGACATCCCTTAAACAAGTGTGATAAAATTATGAAAGAAATCTGCTAAAATAAATGAATTGTACTAAACATAGGGGATGTTGTAAGAAAAAAGGTAATAATTTAATATGAAATTATTTAAAATGTTAGCCGTTTACCTGAAATGCTTAAATGAAATACATTGGTCATTGCCTTGTGTTATTTCTCACTTGATTTTAGAAAGACAGCGCAGTGTGGCAGACTGCAAATCAGGCAGGCAGAGCCTGGGGACCAGGAAGCAATTCCTATAATTTTCTCCCCAAAGTTGAACCAGTACAGAAAAGTTCCAGTGTCTTGGTCAAATAGTCCTGTTCTCCATAAACTTATGATTGTAAATAAACAAACAGATATAAGACAAACATATGAATGATTCTGTGATCATTTTGGAAAGAAATGGATTTGCAGAAAAAAACTAGTTCCAAAATGTTTCATTATTTTTAAATTCAAAGTATTGGACTAGATCTGTATTGTCTCTTCCAGTTATAAATTTTTTTGTCCCTGAAATAGCATTTAAGAGCTACATTTCAAAATAAATGTATAAAACTAAAATAGAGCCATTGGAAATACACATTTTAAATGTTCAGGTATTTTTATAGGAATCTTTCATGCCTGTGTCCTTGTTGGCATGAAATTAATGTTAGAATCAACACAAAATAACAATGGTCAGGACTGAAAATAGAAAGAAGCAATTTTAACCCCATAAAAGAGAAAACGAGAAGAGTGCAATTTGAAATTGCTTCAGATGGAAGGAATGTGAATTCTCATTTGCCCCAAGGGCTAACATAATGGAACAGACTTGAAGCTCAGCTTGAATTTTTCTACTTCATCGGTTCAAATCTTTTTAGGAGAGATAGCTAATGGAATGAGAATGCAGGGACTAGGTAGATGAAGGAGTTAGCAGTATCAAAGTCTTACACCATTAGAATCAGAACTTTTGAAGACTTTAGCACTTATCACGGGCCAGTCCCTGAGCTTGAGATTTTCATTTGCATTTTCTACCTTATTTGTTTCCTACAAGAATTTGTAACGTGGGCATTGTCAGCCGCATTTTACAGATCAGGAAATCAAGTCTCCAAGAAGTGAAGTAACCTGCCCAAGTTCACCTATATATGAGTAGCAGAGCCAATATTTGAATACAGCTTGAATCCTTCTTTCAAAGCCCACCCTGCATCCACCTTGTCATGCTGTGTCACGTTAGTGTATTGGTTTGCAGAATTCCGAGTTGGAGGAATAACCTCTGGCACCCTTAGAACAACAGAGTCACTGTCTTTCCTGTTGTTCAGGAAGATTATTAAGGCTCTGCAATCGTAACAAGCGTCAACCCCACATGGCCAAGGAAACCGAGTCCCAGAAGGCCACACTGTTGCCTTGAGGCTACATGTCACTCTCCAAAAATGCCTCGCGGCCCTGCTGACCATGGATGGATGCTCTCTAGGAACTTACTGAAAACTGATGCACGACAATCATATGACGGGAGATTTAATTCAACGGAAAGAGGATGAGTGTCTACTCTTGGCTCTGACACTTAACGGCTGTGGGGCCACAGGCAAAACATTTCAGCTTCACTGAGCCTCAATGTCTTAGGTGTAAAGTGAAGAGTGTAATATCTAGCCTTCTTACTTCACAAGACGAATAAGGATGACAAGTTAAACAGGGCACAGTTTAAAACACGAAAGTGCTACCAAGTAGGAGGTACGATTATTTTATGAAGATATCACTACTGATGAAGGTAAAGGAGGACTGAGTAGAATCTGAGTATTCGTATCCAGCCATCTCGACAGATTCCAACCACCCTCCCTCTACGCCTTCTTTTCTTTTCTCTATGGTATTTATAGAGCATCTCTGCCGGGCATTATGTCACATGCTGGGAATATAACAATATCAATAGGTTTTGCCTACATTCATAATAGAAGGAAATACCCAGTTTAAGTCAGAAGGGAGTAAAAACAAAGACAGAGATAGCTTCTTTCTCCTATATCCAAGGTCACAGACTGCCCACTTTCTGTCTTTGGACTCCAGTTGGAGATCCTTTGCTTTAGAACTTTCAAGGTCACACGTTTGCAATCCAGGTACCTGGAGTTGCACAGCATACTAATGATATTCAGATAAATGTGACAGTTAAATGGGAGTGATAATTATTAAGAGAATCTTGGTAAGTTGTGTAAGAAGCTCTTTGTCTTGAGAAAAAAATGCCCTCCCCTTTTTTTTCATTTAGTTCTTGGAGAAGGAAAAATTTCAGGACTTGCAAGCGAATGATGGTGGCAGGTGTAAAAACCTGGTTGTGTGAGCTTTTCAAAACTCCAGGGCAGCCTTTTAATGGAACCTAAAAATCCAGTGGCATGAGAGGAAATAGGGAGAATCTAAGGGTATGAAATTGAGGTTGTCTGAAAAGACTTGCTGAAAGTCTTTTTGTTTTTTATGACTTTTTTTTCCTGATCGTAAAAACATTAAGATTATTTTGGGGGAAATTTTTCTTGGGAAAAAGGAGAGTGAAAAAAAAATCCTTATTTTCTTGCTATAACTACTGACAACACTAATGAGAGTTAAGGTTCGTCTATTTATTATAAAATTAAAATGAAACTATATAATTTTTCCTTTTTAGTCCATCCATAACCTAGGATAAGCATTATTAAATAACACTTTCAAATCTTACTTTAAAATTAAAACAAATTCTGGTTAAAACATATAAAATTGATCATCTTAACCATTTTTAACTGTACAGTTCAGTAGTGTTAAGTAAATTCAGATTTGGGGGCAACAAATTTCTGGATTCAACAACTTTTCATTTCCCTCCTCCATCAGCCCCTGGCAACCACCATTCCACTTCGTTTCTATGAATTTAACTACTTTAGATATGTCATATAAGTGGAATCTAAAATGTTAATTTTTAATGGGCTGTCAAATATGCTATCACATGAATGTACCACACTTTATTTAGCAATTACCTCAGAGGTGGCTGGTTAAATTTGCTGTAATAAATAACGACAATGTGGCAAGAATTTCTTGCACAGAAATCTTTGACCACGTTCTGATCATTTTCTCAGGTCAGATACCTAGAAATCAAGATTACCAGAAATAAAGGGCACGGACATTGCTGTTGAAACGTATTTTTTGTATATTAGGTTTGTAAATATTTAAGACTCTTGGTACATTTGGAAAACAGCTTTCCAGTAACATTTTAGCAATTTGTGCCGCCGCCAGCAGAGGATGAAGGTCACTGGGGAGAGGATCTCTATGCCCTCTCGACAGCTTTGAGTACTGCCACTTAAAAAAAAAACTTTGCCGATATTTTTTGATTAAGGAACAGAATTTTATTTGAAGGTCTAGCTCTTTCATTAATAGTAAGATTAGCAGCATGTCACTTTGGATCATGTAACTTTCTTTTTTCCTGTATAAATTAATTTTTCCTTCGTTCTCCCTTTTCTTTCTAAATCTTCCCCCTCCCCATTATAACATCACAAAAGGACTTTTAGGAAAGAAAAAACTATAAAGGAGAAAATACACCCCATAGTGGAAGACTTCGAACCTGGGTTTAAGTATTTTTTTTTATTCTGGTCCTTAGGGCCATGGAAAGTCTTTCTAAAACTAAAAGTTTAGTCATAGCTTCCCGCGGGCAGTGGAAAAGGCGCTGGGGTATTCTGATTGTCTCTTTGTTGATAAAACAGGGTGCCAGGTGGCTGGACACAAATGAGACAGAGATGAGCAAATCCTGACTGGCAACAACTTGAACCTAGCAGGGCAAGTTGCAAGAAGTTGCAGAGGCAAGGCGAGCGGGAGACCGTGGAAGGGCGCCGAGACAGAAGAGACTCACGGACAGGGCCCACCCTTGGGAGGCGGAACAGCTGAGCGCTACAGGGCCTCACTCATTCCCCGAGAACTCCAAGGCCACAAGCTGGCACGCAAAAGCGCTTCCTTTGTGCCCCCAGCTCTGCCGTTGCCTCGGCAGAGGAGTTGGCTGTTTCAAACCCACCCGGCCTCCACCGAGTGATCCGACGCGACTCCTGGGGCTTGATGGCTCAGCTCGCGGAGGAACTCCCTGCGTGCTGGAACAGCGCGGGAACACGGTCCCCGGCCCGTGAGTCACGCGGCCTTCATCAACACCCCGGGCGCCGGCCGCGTGGAGCGCCGGCGCCGCACCTGAACCGCGGAGCGCCCCGCGGAGTTCCTTCCTTCCGACTTCTGCAGCGACGCCCGCCGCCCGCCGCCCGCCCGCCGTGTCCGGGGAGGCGGGGGCAGGGGAGGTGGCCTGAGCCGAGGCAGGGCGACACTCGCCCGGGGAGAGACGCCAAGCAGGCGGCGGGCGCACGGCACGGGGGCGCGGGGGGGGCGGGGGCCGGGGGGCGCGGGCGGCGGCGGCGGCGGGGGGGGGGGGGGTGACGCAGAGGCCGGCGGCTCAACGCTACCTGGGGGCGAGCGAGTGAGGTTTTGGCCCTCCGAGTTCACGGCCTGCAGGTAGAAATAGCGGACGGGCAGCACGACGCCCGCCCGCAGCCCGGGCCCCCACACCAGGCTCCGCGGCGCGCTCACCGGCGCCTCGGGGGCCCCGGCGGCCACGAGCAGGGCGAGCTGCAGCGGCAGCAGCGCGGCCCGCGGGAGGCGGCGCATGGTCGCCGAGCCCGGGGTCCAGCTCAGCGGCGGCGGCGGCGGGGCGGGGCCGGGCTCCGGGGGCCGGGCTGCGGGGGCGGGCCCGTGCTCGGCCGCCCGCCGCCCCGCCGCCGCCCTCTCCGGGCCCCAGCGCCTTGCGCCCTGCGGGGGGCCGGCGAAGAGCGCGTCGGGTCCTGGGGACCCCGCGGAGGGGGTCCGCTCGGTGAGGCCGAGCGCCCTCGGCCGCCGAGACCTGGTCTCGCCCGGTCCGCACCTCCGGTTGCCGGAGCTTGTCAACTGTGTGGAGGAAACCGCTTTGAAAGGACACCAACACGGTGGTGATGGCCGTGGGGCGAGCGATAGGGCCCCGCAGCGAAGAACGTCCATGTCCTTTAGGGAAATGCCTTTAGCACAGGAGCTTCCCTGGGTTGACACGGTGCAGGGCAAATGTCACGCCACCTCTCACAGGTGTATTCACACCAGCCCCAACCTCATCCTGCGGTCCTCTGTTCTGAGATTCTCTCCCTTCTCCCCAATCTCCTTCCCCTACAGTTTGCTTTTCTCAACGCGTGTGTTCTGAACATCCACTAGGTTAGGGACAAAACCCAAGGGAGCAGTTAGGCACTGGGGTATCAGAATTCAGGGTGGACGAAGGACTTGCCTTGAGCCTGGTGGGTGAGCTTCACCTCTGTCAGGTGGCTCCTCTCCTCTGGAATTGATGAGGTGTGACTGGTCTTGGTCACTCCTCGGAAGCTGGAGGTAGGGACCAGGAAGAGACTGGCAGGAGCCCTAAGCACTGGCAGCCACTGTCTGCCTTTTCCCCCCTGACCTCTTGATCCACATTTGTTAAGTATTTTCGCTTCTTTTATTTGCTTATGGTTCGAATCTGTTCAAAGAAAATAAGCATTCTGCTCAGGCTGGGGAGCCAGGGGGAACCCAAAGTGCAGAATGAATAGAGGGATTCTGCACCCTCTTGACAGAGCTCAATCCAGAAATGCCAGAATCAGGCACCTGCTGTTCATCTCCTGCCTTTAATTGGGTTACTCAGCATTCTTGCTATGACCACCTTTTACTAGGGCAAAATCCTTCCCAGTTCTCTTGACCTATTTTAGTAATACTGAGCAGAGGTTGTAGACAGTGTTCTTTGTATTTTGGAAAGATTTTCAGAAACTGGTAGTAAATCACTGGGAAATTGTAGGGCTAAAGTATAGCATTACCTTCATTGACAAGTTTTAATTTGTGGGGTTGTCTGCATGCTTTAAATAGAAAGCATTGCTGTGTTCTAGCTATCACTTTGAAAAATTGTGTAGAACACATTTTATTCACATTCTTCCAAAATCAAACTTAAAAAATTTCCGAGAGAAATAATCTGAAGGTTAGCTGGTACAGGACGATAGTAAAATATGACCTAATATATTACATCATACTTGCGGTAACCCCCAGTATTTTTTGAGAACATATCAAAGAAGCCATATAATTGAATCTGAACCCTTGTTTAGCAATACTGAGTCTGTACCAACCTGTTTTCTTTCACATTGCCATCCATATCTTTAAAATCATCTCTCTTCAGATCAACCAATGCCTTGACTCGATTCTTTATCGTAAATCACATTTCCAAATACATATTCAATGCCTACTATGTTTTAGACATTATACTTGGACTTTAAAACTCCTTTGGTTAAGTGAAGAAGAAAGACAAAGAGGCAGTGTGGTGGGTGCCAAAATATGGGAGTGGAGAACTCTGCAGATCTGGGATTTTAGCCTCTTACAAGCTAACAGGTTAGCCTGTTTCATGGATGCTGTCGAAAGACACAAAACTCCTGGATCAGAGACAAAGGACTTTGTTATTCATTGTCAGAGTTTCACGTTGGTTTGTGTTCGATCCCTATGTGCCCTGTTATGGGCAGAATTGTGTTTCTTCGAAATTCATACGTTGAAGCACTAAGCTCCATGACCTCAGAATGTGTATTTGGAGATAGGGCCTTTAAAGAGATGATTAAGTGAAAGTAGACTGTTAGGATGAGCCTCGATCCAATCTAACTGGTGTCCTTACAAGAAGAGGAAATTAGCGCACACAGAGAGACACCAGGAATGCTTGGGCACAGAATGAAGACCAATGGATGGCACAATGAGAAGGCACTCATCTGCAATCCAAGGGAGAGGCCTGTCGACATCTTGATCTGGGACTTCTAGCTTCCAGAACTGTGAGAGAATAAACTCTGTTGTTTAAGCCCCCCAGTCTGTAGTAGTTTGTATTAGCGATCCCAGCAGACATATATAGCCCCCAAGTCTGGTGGGGACAATGCAAAAGACCTTCATGGATGTGTGAAGTGGGTTGCATTATAAGACAAACACACCGAATTCAGGGGATTACTGATTTCACAGCAAGGGGAATTAATCCTGCTCTTGGCCAGTGGGGAGATATTATCTCCTCCTTCAAGGTTGCTTGCTGTAAATACAGGCCTAAGAAATGTCATGTGTGGGGCCCCTGGCTGGCTCAGTCAGTGGAGCGTGGGACTCTTGATCTCGGGGTTGTAAATTCAAGCCCCATGTTGGGTGTAGAGATTACTTAATAAAATCTTTAATTAAAAAAAGAGAAAGAAATGGCATGTGTAAAGAGCGGTCAAGGACTTACATTCTTGGCAAGCCCAGCAAAGATGTTCGAGACCCATGGCAGATTGCTTCTCCCAATATAAGTATGCTTCTCTCTCCCTCCTCTGTTGAACATACCAACCAACCCCCACCTAGCCACAAGTAGCAACTCACATAGTAGCCTTGAATGTGTCCCTCTAGATGTACACATGCATATGCAGGGTTTGTTTGTTTGTTTGAGTAATGCTTTATAAAAAAAGATTTTGCTTTCCTCACTCAATAGTACTTCATGCAAATTCTCCTAAGTCAACTTACATAGTTCTACTTTATTCTTTTTAATGGTTGCATAATATCACATATGTGGATGTTCCATCATATATCCAGTCAGCGCTCACTTTGTTTTGTTTTTGCCACAACAAACATGGTAGCAATAAAAATTCTTACCTGTAAGTCTATATATACTAGTGCTCTTATTTCCATTGGAGTGATTTCTGGGGCAAATGAATACGGTGATTCGGCATATTGGTTCTGAATCCCTACCTTCCTGGTCGTAACAGAGACAATGGGTCCCCTGATAAGTCCAATTTTCTGGCATTGTTTGAGAAACTGGCGCTGGAATTTCAACTTAGTATCTATTTTGTCAGCCCTGTCAATGCATTTGTGAGCAAACTGTACACGCTTTAATAAGTGTTTTTTACCTGAGCGACCTAAAGAGGATTATATTTAGTCTACAACTAAAAACCCTGGCTGATCCAATGTATTTTAAATTATGATAAAATACTGCACATATTCAATATGACAACAGTCCCCTGTCCTTGGTAGAGACACAGCCTTTGGGTTGCTTTCCTAGAAAAGATATAAGATTGGTATGAATCAATTAATTAATATTGCATGTCTTATATTTCAACTGGAAAGAATGGTTTATCTTTCATCGGTGTTACTGGGCAATGGCTAACCCAACTCCATGTAGCTCCTTCTTCCTCTACACAGAGAAATGCCAGACCTTCTTCATTCCTCCTCTGTGTTGCAACCAGATAGACTGATCTTCATGTATCAGTTGATTGCTTTTGGGTACAAATGAAAGAAGAGAGAAGCAAGTCACTGTGTTTTTTTGAAACTAAATATGGCTGATCTCATTCAATAACAACCAGAGAAATTTGTAGGAATGCTTTTGGCCCCCCTTTCCCCCACCACCTTTTTAGAATTTTTCCTGAAACTTTTCCCCTTAAAAATAATCATTTGAGGATGGGAATAAAAACCAGGTCAAACGGGGCATCTATTTAAATCATTTATTTCAACACAGGCATTGTTTTAAATTTGCACCTTGTCTTGTAACACTTTTCATATCTAGAGGACAGGATTGAGAACAAGTTCATCAAAGGATTATTTGACAATATTTTAACAAAAGTGCCTTAGGCTTACTTGTTCCAGAACACAGGTGTGCCAGTCACAAAGAGCCCCTAAGTAGTAACACATTCACAGACTTGCTGGGAACGTGAGATATTTACATATTTATGCTGTACATTGCAATAGGATATTCTAAAGTGTTTTCACCACTGTTAACAATAAATTCTTACCGATAAGGCCTCTTTAACCTCCTGGCATCCCACAGAGTATAGTGCTTTTATGGAGGTGGGAGTTTTTCAATTTTATTCCCGTCTTCACCATAACCTAAGTGGACTTTCTTTCATTATTTCTAGTACAGACATACATTTACCTTCTACACAAAATTGTTTTTATTCACTTTTCATCAGTCAAAACCTTGTTAGTAGCAGCTGGAAGTTTTATTAACATCCATCTATTTACAAATGTAAGGGGGTAAATTATTTAGAAGGAGGTCTCTAAAAATGAAAATAATCTCATTAAGCACCTCCTCCTTTTTAAAGTAGACTCCACTTTAAAAAAGTGTGGAGCCCAACGTGGGGCTTAGGACTCTCTACCCTGAGATCATGACCTGAGCTGAGATTAAAAGTCGGTCGCCTAACCGACTGAGCCACCAAGGCGCCCACGCTCTATTTTAAATAAACTGTACAGTGTGATACTGAAGTCTATTATCTAAACAAGTTAATAACTTCAACGTACTTATTAGAATGGATTCCGTCATGATTTACTCCATTTATGTGACTATTTATTTTAATAATGATTATATCCTTTAGAACACAAGTGAGGGGTATAAAAATGACTATTATAAGTTAGTATAGCTGTACCAAAAATGAGTCTTAAAAAGCAGCAGTTTGTATGTTAAAATACGTAGAAATTTGCTGTACTTCTTTAACGAAGTATTTTATAAAAGTATAAAACTATAGAAGGTGATGGTTTTTTGTTTTTTTTTTTTAAGATTTACTTATTCATTTGAGAGAGAGAGAGAGAGAGCAAGGGGAGGGGCTGAGGGAGAGAGAGAATCCTCAAGCAGACCCTCCCCTAAGTGCAGAGCCTGACTCGGGGCTCGATCTCATGACCCTGAAATCATGACCTGAGTTGAAATTGAGAGTCAGACGCTCAACTGACTGAGCCACCCGGGTACCCCCAGAAGGTGCTATTTTTATGAATTTTCTGTTTCTTTGATTCTTGAGCCAGACCAACAAGCAAACATTACAAACAGTGCAGGTGAGAATCAGCCATCAATTACCTTTGAATTCAAATAGGAGCTTCCAGTGCAGAGAAGGAGGGCCTCAGAGTAATTGTTTATCCTCACCTTAATTTAACTAACTGTTGATATAGCCTAAACTCAGTGAAAAATAAGCTAACTTCATTTCACCTTTTCTAACATACATGTAAACTCAGAGTATTTACTGAAATAGAACTTGCAAGTTGACCATTTTTCAAAAATTGAGAAGCTTAACATTAAAATATGAACTCTGAATATCTTAAAATTAGATGGAAAACATAAGTCATGGTTTATGAAACTTGTACTTAAATAATCAGATAAATAGAAGGGGAAGGGGAAAGGTAGAATTTACAAACAGAAATAAAAAAAAGAATAAAATGTTATTTATTCTTTACCATTTAAATTGAAATATCCAGAACAGTTGATTTAAAATTCTATTATCAGTCTCTTTGGGCTTGATATTGGTCAGAGCCTGGACTTAAAAACAATTTACAGATTTAAGGAATAACTTTCATGTTAGTTACCACATGTTTATTAGTTTTGAGTTTCATGGGAATGATGTGAAGATGCCCTGGTATTTTGCTTCCAGGCAAAGCAATGGTTAGGAGGATGATAATAATAATATAGTTCTTTCTTGCATTTCTATCAGTTCCAGATCTCTGTATGCTTCACCAACACTATCATTATCCTTAATTTATATGGACGAAACAGACTAGGTGAGAAAGATGGAAAAGAGAATTGGGTCAGGAAGCAAATACGAAGGAAGGGAATGAAATCCACTCATGTGGACCCTCACAGCAGTAAGGTCCTAGATGGCAGGCTTTCTGTAGTTCTAGTGAATTATCTTTACTGCCATCTATTGGTGTTGGAGGGAAAGTTCCAGAAGGTTGGCTTGGCAACCAAAGACTTAGAAAACCAAGTTATCAGTGGATATGAAGAGTATTTAGTCCAGATACATTATTGAAGAAATCACAGTGACAAGCCCTTAGATGTTCTGCCTTATAATTTCCCGTGGGTTTGGTAAATGATCCTGCAAAGAAGCCAGTGAAACCCGGTGTGTCTGATCTGACTCAGCAGCATTTTAGGGGGCGTTGCCAAGGCTATCATAGCTTGATATTCGTGACTAAAACATGCACATGAAATAAAGCATTCTATCCTGCAAATAAAGAAAATCCAGAAATGGGTAGTCCTGCAGAAATGGGAAAACCAGTTGGGGAGAGAGCTGCAGTGAGGATGTCCATCCCACGAAGGATGTCCACTTACCTGCATCCCCAGTCATGCTCCCTTCCTAAGTAGGCCCATTCTGTGGCCAACCCACCTTCTGTACCATCATGCTACCTGGCCTGAGTCCTTGACTTGATTAAAATTCAGCCCTTAATAAGTCAGCCAGTCCCTACAAATGTCTTCAAATGTAGTCTTAGAAGTACTAATATTTTTGGCTTAATAGGGATTCAGCTCCTCATCTCTAACCTCAATAAATACATCAAACATCTGCTTCCATCTAATAGGATGCCTTTATGAAAATTCCCTTATCTTTGTTTGAAAGGAAAAAAAAAAAAAAAAAAAACAACCCTAAACCTCCTAAATGCTAGGTCAAACAGGATGGTAACATTTACTCCATTGTCATCATCCCTACGCTTTATTTAATGTCATGAATATAAGGTGTGGATTGGAAGGGGCAGTACAGAATTTTCTAACTAACTTATGGAAGTTATTACTTCTTATGTGCCTGGGGTATTAGGGTTGTGAATCATAATGAAAGGTGTAAAAAAAGTTAAGGAGAAAGTAAAGTAAAGCAGAAAGCCAAAGTTGGACAGTGAGGGCACAGGAGGGGAGAAAGGCCAAGAATACATGCAGAGAGAGAAGACAGCAGAGAATCCCCCCAAATAAAAAATAATTTGCTCTAGAATTTACGAAGTATATATATATATATATATATATATATGTTGTAGGGAAGGGAGGGAAGAGAATTTGGGTTGTTTCAGAGTAGGTGCTGCTCAGACCAGATCTGTTTTATACTGTCCTTCTCAAGGGCATACATATTTACACTTCATTTCCAGTACAAGCTTTTGGTGGAAAAGGTTATGCATTTTATTGAGGAAGGCTCACAGTTCTGACTCTTTGTCATTTTCATCTAGATAGTATTCATCATCCGTGGTTGTGTCTGTGTCACAGTCTGAGTCCACTGGATTCTCTTCATAGATATTAAGTGGTGCGCTTGGAGATAAGGCATCTTCTGGCATCTGGCTGTGAGGAGAATTTGAGCTGGATAGCTCTGTTGGATTAGGAGCATTAATTACATCATCTTTCAGGAAACCAGGGTTCTTGAGAAAACTTGGCTTCCATAATCTTCCTTGCGTGAGTGACCTCTTTACATTCTCCAAGAAAGCCAACTGTTGTTCTTTCCCAAAAATTCCATAGTCAATGGGTCTGGATATAGATGTTGCCGACCTGGGGCCCATTTTTGTCCTGCCACTGCACAAAGCCCGATTATCATTTGCATTACAGGAGGAAAGCTCAGAAAAGGATCTGAATCTTCGACTGTACCTGCTGTCGCTAGAGAATTCATTCCCTAGGGTCAGCTGACTCAGGGCATTGACAACAGACGTGTTCTCAGAAAAATGGCGCTCCCTGACTTTTGGAGGATGACTTTTGCGTACCAGATCACTGTGCACACTGATGCTTTTTAAACTGTTTGAACGATAGGGATGTGGTTCAGGTTCCCACTCCAGAGAGGAAGCACTTCGTTGCTGCCGGTAAGTGGCCAACGGGATGCTTCCTCTGGATTTCTCTGCAGGCTCCAGTGGAAAAGGAGGGTTCAGTCTTCTCTGATGGTCAGAGAAGTCCGCTTCCCCGCGGCTGGCGAATGTGGGTTGGGCCAAGGCTCCTGACTCTCTTTCCAAGGTCTGAGCTGCTGCTACATCTTTAGACTTCTCATACTTTGGTGATGATGCTGAGATATTTTTAGACTCACTCTGACGTAGTTGTGAAATGCCGTTAGACTTCTGATTGCTTAACTGTGTAGAAGCTTCTCTGTTGGATATTACAGGAACCTGGAAAGAGTTCTCGGATTTCTCTGCCTCCATGACATCGCTACTCAACCTGCGCTCATTTCTGGATTCTCTGGACTTTGGAGTAGGCTCAGGGGACAGAGGGTCGCGCTCTGGTGTGCCAAGAGATAGGCTGCCAAAGCCACAGCTGTTCCCACTTTGGGGGAAGATAGTAGCTACATGTCTTCTGGGGCTTAAATCTTTAGCTGAGAATTTTCTGCTGGCTTTGGACATGGCTGCCAATCTGTGTTTAACTAAAGATCTGTTTTTTCCTTTTTCTGGGTCATCCACGCTGGTTTTATTTTTATTGCTTCCTTCAGGAAGTGAAGGTTGATCCCATGCCAACTTTTGCATTTCGTCTTCAGCTTTACTGTTCTCTGTCATACTTACCTCCTGACTCCTTTGCGGTAGTTCTCTGGGTTCAGACTGCAAACTGTCTAAATCTGGCTCTCCTGAACAAGTCCCTTCGTCAAGGTGTAGATCATGCAAAGCTGGAGGAAGAGCAAAGACCTGGCTTTCCAAGTCAGAAAGTGCTTTAATAGTCTCTTTTTGGAAATCTGTTCCAATTTCCCCTCTGACCTGCCACGGCTGCAATCCATTGGAGCTACCAACCACAGCTTTGCCTGTGATATCTTTCTGAAGGCATTCTGCAGTTCCAGGAGCTGTAATGACCACAGTGTCACCTGCACACTCCTCAGAACTTCTTACGGTTTGGGAATTTCCAACATTCTCTTCTGAACGGGCTGGAAGATTAGAAGGACCACCATTACCCAATTTAACGGGCTGCTGACAGTTTTCTGATTTCTCTTCTGTAACTTTTTTCCCCTGAAGCATTGATAAAACATGCAGGGTTTCATTCTGCCATTTTTTCCCTCTCTCCTTTCTGCTCTGTGCATTGCCTAGAGGTGTTTTAGTGAAGTTATCTGGGGAAATCGCTCCAGTTTTCGATTCTCCTTTACGAAGAGAAACATCTGCTGCAGTAGAAGCCATTTCCTGTAATGTGGGCTCTGAGGGTCTCCGGTCTGGTGAAGCAGTCGTATCTTCAGTGGTGTGAGAAACACAATAGCTCTTCTCCTGAGCAGAGCTGACCAGCATCTTTTGACCTTCGGAGGGAGGTGTTCCTGACTGCTCCTGCGTAGAATAATTTAGTTTGTTCTTTTCAAAAGCATTAGGAAATGCTTCGGTCTCCACTTTAGTTGACTCTGTAAGTGAATCGATTTGCTGTGTATACTTTTCGAGAATGTTACAGAATTTTTTGCTGTATTTCCTCGGCAGAGTGTAATATATTGAAACCACCTCAAGACATTTCACATTATCTTCATCACCAGAAACCGAAAACATACTAGTAGTCTTAAATTTATGTAATGTTTTCCCACTTTCTTTTCTTGACATGTCTGAGGAAAAAGGTAAAGGGTGTTCATTTGAGAACAGACCTGTCCTGGAGGCAGCAACTTTACAATCCTTTTCAGTGTGTTCTCGAAAGTCTTCCCTTTGGGGGTGTCCTTTGGGTAAAGAACAATGGCTAACAGGTGAGTTATTTTCCGGAGGGCTAATGATTGTCTCCCAAGGTCTTAGTGTTAGAGCAGAAGCATCTGTGTTTGAGACCAAGCATTCTTCCCTTTCATCTCTCCCATTTGAGGCATCTGGTGCCCCTGAAGGACATGACACAGCCCTCCTGGTGAGGAACGGAGGTGGTCCTTTTCTAACAGAAGCAGATCCAATGTTTTTCATATTTGTCATCCTCTTTGTGGCTTCAGGTGCTACTGAAACTGCTTTGGAACATCTGCTTTCTGACTCCGAAGAACTGGAACTGAATTTGTTTGACGTGTACTTCCCTCCTGGGTCTTCCACCTTATTTTTGATTTGGAATGGAAGTGGTTCATTCCTAAATGAAGAAGGCATTATCTTACTTTCTGACTTCCTGTTATTGATGAGAAAACTGGCTGATTTTCTTGGTGAGATACAATAAGTAGTTTGAACCTCAGGACGCTTGGAATTGCTTCGATTCATCTCCCTGAGGTTACTGTTATCACTTGTAGGTGCCGATCTGCTTTCCGTTTTGCTTAACTTTTCAAAACAGGAAATGCATCGTCTTATTTTTCCTTTTCCTTTTCCATCCTTGAAAGGAGGGCGGGAGTGGCATATGACAGCATCAACCACCTCATTATGTACAAGCACACAATTATCATGACTCTTTGGGTTTTCTGAGGAGCTTAGGGCAAACTGATCATTTTGGTGTTTGCTATCATTGTCTTTTTGCTCCGCTTCTCCCAAAGATGGATCTTTGCCTGAAGGACCTTTCCTGGAGAACGCTGTTGTAGAAGGAATCGCCAGAGCCTCAAGGGAAGAATTATTTGATGGTGAGTTATCAGGTGGTATACCTGATGACAGATCTAAAGAGTCCCCTGGGATCTTGTGACCAGCAGCTGATCTGCTACAGTTCGTAGAATGAGTTGTGCTATGTTGTTCTTCCTCGGCATCTAAAATAGCAGGCTTTTCTGGAGACTGTGCATTTTGATTATCAGGTGCAGAGCTCCAGTGGTGATTTCTAATAATGCCTGAACTATCTTCATGGCTTACTCTTGCTTCCTGATGACCACCTGGATTTGGGCTGGGAAAAGACTTTGTTCTGCTTTCCTGAATGAAAGGAAGGGCAGTTGCTGAGCCAACTTTTCTATTCCCAGTAAAATTCCTATCTTTTTTTAGTTCATTGGATTTATCTCCGTGTGATAGATGAATTTTGGATATATCTTTCCTGGCAATGACTCCGGGTGACCTTTTTGAACTTACTGTGGTAGATGCATTCAAAGCAAATCCTTTGCTCTTAGCTGAGTCCTGGGACAGGGGATTTCGAAAATCGGGGGAAGGGTTAGAGATTACAGTCTGTGAATCAGGTTGGGGTACTTCACTTGTCATGTTTGTCTGGTCCATCTTGTTTAGTTGTTTATCTTCTTCCAAAACAGATTCATTCAAGTCTTTCTCATGACTCACATCTATGGCCGAGATATCGGGTGGGCTTTCAATAAGAGGTGGAGAATCAACTGAATTCCTCTTGGTCACAGTGACTTGTGTATAGGTTTTTATTGGAAGAGAGGCAGGCTTAATTTTCTGCACAGTGACTGTGGGATTCTGAAAGATGGGACCCTGAGGATTCCCTCTGTCATCAGGAATCTGGGGGAAGGAAGTTTTAAACGAGGATACTAGAGTCTGAGCAATTCCAAATGAGTAAGGTTCTTTGTTGATGTGGACTTCTGTAGGAGGACTGCCCTCTTGACATACTGACCTACCAGATGTGATGTGATAGCTTGGACCAGTCACAGGGCAAACATTGGGCATGTCGAAATGAGTTGACTGGCTCCCATTACCTTGTGACACCTCCATGCTCTCCAGCATGGATGTCTGAGAATCAAACTGCCAGGGATGTGGCTCTTCTTGATCTCTGAACATATTTGTTCTGTAACTAGAAGAAAATGATCCCCAGCGTTGAGAAAGAACACCATGGCCATGTGCAGCTAATGCACTATTTGCTTCCGTGGAAATCATTTCAAAGTCTCTGTCAGAAGAAGGGAATGGATGCCTGCTTTGATGGAAGTCAGACCAGGAAGAATGTTCTTCCTGTTGGTCCCAAAAAGGACTTTGCCTAAATCTCTGTTCCCTGTTTCGTCCAAAGGTGTTGCTAGAGACAGATCTAGCAAATGGGTTTTCTTGAGGGTAGAATGGCATATTCTCTGAGTTCTCAAACGGGTCAGGACTCATTGCATTATCCATGGGGGCATTAAAATGAACACCTTGGTAAACACTCTGTGAACGGTAAAATCCATATCTCCTGTTCTCCTGAAAACACCTGGGATACGTATACTGGTCGGCAGTATCAATCTCCATGGGTGACGGGGCCCTCAGGAACTCTTCCTGGCTCTGCCTATCTCCAGAAGAATCTGATCTATTCCATATGATGGATGATAAAGGAGTTCTCTTTGGGCTCTGCTGGTGTCTTGGTGGTATAAACCCACTCTTGTTCTGAGTGATGGTTGGAAAATGTAAGCTTCGTGCTGTGAAATATCTTGTAGCTGGTGAAGCCAATCGTTGCCTGCTGTCGAAACACAGAGAAGTACTACCAAAAGTATTCTTTTGCACATAATCTTCTTTTAAGAGTCTGGGCTCCCTTGTCCTGTACATATCATAAATTGTTTTTGTTCTAGGAGAAAAGGTTTTAAAACCTTCCCTAGGGGCTCCTGGCCTCAGGATGTCATAGATAGACATATTAGAAGTTTCATTATAGTGGTTTTTGTGCCGTCCTGTGATATTACCATGTGTGTTTCCCCTAGAGTAGAAATGACTGAACTGTGTTCTCGATCCATAGTTGAGAGGTGTTGTGGTATTCACTGAGCTTGGACACTGTTCCTGAGCCAGTTTGTTATCCAAATCATCTAAAACTGAAAGGAGAATATGAGTCAGCTTTTTTGTATAACATTTTATAGTCTAATAATAATTTGAGTTGTTGAGGTCCCTCTTTAAGAAATAAAATCGTTTAAAATTTTATTTTTATTTATTTATTTATTTTTTAAGTAGGCTTCATGACCAGTGTGGAGCCCATTGTGGGGCTTGAACCCATGACCCTGAGATCAATACCTGAGCCAAAATCAAGAGTTAGATGCCTAACCAACTGAGCCACCCAGGTGCCCCTATAGTTTTATTTTTAGATAAATGTGATGACATTAATTTTGATTATGTTTTTAAGATATTCTGAATTTTACAAGGTTGTGGGGGAAGTTTCTTTTTCATGCTTTTTCAAAATTAACCTTCGATAATACCTTAAGGACCTAAAGCTACATTTTTTTTTTCTAACAACAAAATTTTAATTGTGTGTTTGGCTTTTTTTTAGTTTATCTTTTGTGTCACCAGGTAGCTAAAATATTACCCACCATGTTTACTTCAGAGGATTGCAATAAAAATGAGAGTCTGTAAATAACATGTGATTTCTCAGGTGTACTGTTAAAAATACAGCATTACCACCAAAAGCGTAAGCATGTAATTTATAAACATTTATTTGGATGGATCTGAGCAATACAGAAACTTTAAAGTTCTATACAATATTGTTAAATGATATGCTAATGCTAGGTTGTTTTTCCTGGAAAAATGAAGACCCATTATCACCCCTATAATATCACACTTTCTATGTGTCAGGCCCGGTTCTAAACAATTTATTAACTCATTAAATCCTCACAGAACTTTGTAAGACTGGTACTATTACTGTTCTTGTTTTATAAATGAGGACACTAGGCATGAACAGATTAGGTTGTCAAGGTGACAGGCCGTCTGTCTCCTGAGTCCACATAATGCAATGGCCTGTGGTATAAAAGCTCACATTTCATTCTTTTCATGAACTATAAAGATGATTTCACTGTAAGTCATGACGTTACAAGGATTTGGACTTGCTGTTGTTAAGCAACGTTCACTTTTCTCTCAGTGGCCAGGTTGGAGGGTGGTGTCCAAGTCAGAGCTCAGTGACCTTCTTATAACACGGAGGACCTGGGGCAGCCCCAAAACCCAGAGATCAAGCTTACTAGGACCCCAGCCTTTGCGACCTCAGACAAGTTACAGGATATTTTCAGTTGGTTGGTATCGTGTTTCCTTACTCCTATTTGACCTCTTTTCCTCAAGAAAAACCTGTCAGAATTTAAATAGTACCATAATCTTTTAAGGTTTTAGGATTCCCAAAGGCCCATCCTGTCGTGAATGTATTTTACCATATTCATGTTACAATAAATCGAAACAAGTAGATTATATATTTATTGAAGAAATGCAATGTTCGTTCATGACAATCAAATCTGGTATGAGAAATAAGTTATGGGATTATTTAAATTGCTGAAAAGCCACACCTTTCCTTCTGAGTTACATAAAATGGTGCACTCTCTCCTTGGTTCTTTTAAATTATTTGTCGTTAAAATATTTGATCTTAACACTTCAGTGACAGGGAAAGAGAGGCATATCAGTATTTGTGAATGTGGGTGGGATGTATTTATGGATATGTCAACTATGTTGGGGCAGGTGCTGAAGAGATTTTTGATGTCTGTTCTGGATTTTCCCAACCCTATTGTATTTGTAAACTGGTGCTATTTAAGTTTGCACAGCCACCAGAAGAAGGAATCTTGAGCATTAAAAGTCTATAACTAAGGAATTCTTCAGGGATTCATCCTGAAGTGTTAAAATTATTTATCTCCCATCTCTGAAATAATTCCATATATCCACACACACAAAAATCAAACAATGCCAAACTGTAAGGTGAGGTAAAAAGAAAATAAAATTATGTCAAAATTATGTAATGAGTAAAAAATCTATCTTTAAAACAAATTATAATAAAACCTCTTTGATTCCTGTTCTTCCTTTCAAGCTAGTTGTAGTTTTTTTTTTTTTCCCTTAAATAAAGTCTTTTGCTGCCTATGAAAGCAACATACGGTTATAAGGGAAAATACAGGAAAGCATAACAGAAAGGTAAAATCACCTGGATTCCTCCCCAAATGTAACCACTCTTAACATCCCCATAGGAAGATTTTAAATTATTCAAAAATGCTGTTTTATTTTTACTCTTGAGGTTAAAAAAAAAAATCTGTTCTGAGTTTCCTCTTTATTTTCAGAAAAGCCAAATCACTTTTTTTCACGTCATAAACAGTAGCTCTCCTGGATTAGCAAAACCTTTGTTTTGCCAGAGATTTTCCTCTGGGCTACTTTTCTCTGGAGCAAGTTCTCTGCCAGGAACCACAGAACTGAAAGGTTGACCACCCCCCGCCCCCCAGCCGGACCTCTTTCACTGACCACCCCACCTCTCCCAACACAGCGCCCCGGGGAGGTCATTGCCTTTGCAAAGGGAATTTAGTTCCTCAGGGTGAAGCTGGCGAATGACTTCAGAGTTCACTGCTTCAATGGCCAGGTTTATTTTGATACAGAATAACCTAAGTAAAGGTGAGCTGTGCTTCTATAAGAATAAGATCCATGTGCATGCGGTTACTTTTGGAATGTTTCTGTTTTTATTGTTGTCTGTTGTACAAGGTTAATTGTTTAACAACAATTAGGTTTCATCACAGTGCGGATAGGTACTGACTGGGAACAATACAAGTCTATTAAGAATAGTAAACTTTACAGACATATTTCTTAGAAATGCATTTCCTTTAACCTGAGGTTAAATATTAAACATTATTATCATTCCACAGATTTATCAGCCTTGGTCTGAGCATATTTGCTTAGATTATATTTAAATATAAGATTCTTGAATATTTTTGTGTTAATAGCATGTAACAGCCTCCTCTTCAGATAAGGGAAACAAAAGGATTTCAAAAATAAAGTACAGGGTTTGCTATGTTTTGAGCATTTTAATACACACAGTAATCATTATTTGCTTTAGTGCAGGGGGTCCCAAAGGCAGTTTCATGCATAGACTTACCTTGGAAAAACTCATTTTCCAGCAGTGAGGCATCCCACTGGGGCATGCCACTTCCCTCCCTCATGCCTGTTGGCCTGGGGACAAATGCACTCTCAACTGGTGGATTTTCCAGAGGTGAGCTGTGTATTTTTGCCTGCTGATTTTGAAACAGAAAATGCAGTATTATTTCTGGACCTTCTCTAGCCAGTATACTCACGTGTCCCCACAAAAATGTCCCAACCTAAAATTCTTAGTCTAAGGACGGCAAATCAATTTTTCTAACACTTACCTCTCAACTTACAATGTTTCATTATTTCTGTCATTTGCAAGTGATCACAAACTACTCTATACCTACACTAATTGTTTTTAGTATGAGTCTTCAAGCAATATATCGAGTTTCTTTCTACCAAATACTCCTACAAACTTACACAGCACTACACAAGTCTTAGGGAGTTTCCTGGAATACAGGAAAGAAATCGACCTCTCTTGAATTAGGAGAGTTGTCTCCATGGCCCCAATGGCTGGAATTTTAGATTTCTTAACCGTGTCCCTGCTCTATCAAGGGCTGGCTAGCTGAAGATTGTAGTGGACCTTAAGATTTGTGAACTTGGTGCATTTGGAGGAAAACAAAAAGTATTTCTAGCCATAGAGCTCATGCAGAATGGTAGAACCTCCCAGACAAACATAAGCAGCTGATACAGTTCTGAATCAAAGGTGCTAAAAAGTATGACCTTAAAAATGTTTGTTGTTGTTGTTGCTGTTTTGAAATACCATTGCTAGTTTTACAGGGTTCAGGAGAATGAGACAGAGCTAATGTTGTCTTCCTGTCTGTACAGCAACTCTTTATCTTGATTTCTCCAAATCCATCACTGCCCTACTTTCGAGCTTTAATTTGTCTCCATGACCTCGGGGGATTGTCTACTCCCACACCTTCACTTTCTTTTGCAGAAACTCCATTTGCATTTCCTCTGTCACACTGGCTCTGTCACTCGTGATCCGCTCTAACTCGCTCTGCACCTGTTCATGAAAAATGCTAGCAGCCACTTCCCATTCGGTCTTTGCCGTCAGCTCACTCTGCTACCCAGCGCTTGCTGCTTGGATCCCACGTCCCCTCCAAGTTTTCTCTTTCCCTTTGATGTTTGCCATTACATTTCACCTCCCCTTGAATGCCTAAGACAAAATCTCTAATGTTTCCAAAGCTCCAACGTTTTTTACTTCTCCACCCCAGGTCTGTCCAATTCCAAACCCCAGGTTCTCCTGATTTCTATATTCTTCTCAATCTAGGATTTTCACTCCTGCCTGTTTTCATTCTCAAGATCTAGGTCACTTATTTCTTGTAGGAGCCCTGCCCACATTTCACGGACTCATGGTTTTCAGTTCTATGGGCAAGGAATGGAATGGAAGACACGCAGAGATTTATGAATAAGAAAGAAACAATCCTGTGATAACTTTTGTAGGTCATTGGATATAATTAAACACACTAATATAAGACTCAGAAGTAAACAAATATAGAGGCAAAACATAACTACAGTGAGATACCAAATGGATAAAATCAATTGTAATAAAACTGGAAACTAATCATTCATGTAGACCAGATGCATCTGATTAAGAGAATAGCATTGTCTCTCAACCACTTTAACACCCAAACGAACTTCAGCTCTCCTCTATATAGACCAGAGCACATCCCTTTTGGCCTCCTGGATCATATGCTTTTACAATGGGAATTTATACTTAAACGAAAAATACTTAGACTGAGGGCTCAGGTGAAGAGATGAACCTCTCGGAGCTGGGAAGGATTATTACCCCCTAGAGACCCTGAATACCACCCTCTTTGGTTATATGTCTGCCTGGAGCTTCTGCTCCAAGACCAATGCTACTTGTCCAACATATTAAGGATGCTTCTCATACACACAGGTACACATTATGTGACGAAGAGAAAATATGGAGAGTTTATTTACACTCAACTTTAACTCTGCAAGGATATTTTGTTCAGTGATGAAATGGTTAAAGAAGTAACGGCTGGTAGGTACCAGGCATACAATCACTGCTCTATAGATCCCTTTTATTTGAGCTATATGTGAGTAGTTACTATTATTATTAATTATTATTATTAGCAGTGGTAACGGCACATTGAATATTCTAGGCGTCTTAGGATTTTATACAGGTTACCTTATTTCATTATTTTAACCATGCTATGAGGTTGGTACTATGATTATTCCCACTTTGAGAAAAACCTCACTTGGGAAAAAATGAAGTTTCAAGAGGTCAGGTCATTTGCTTCAGGTCACACTGGTGGAGGGAAGGATTCCTTCCCAATCTCTGGGATTCCAAAGCCCAGGCTGAAATCACCTCTCTTCACTGTTTTATTAGTTTATTAGTCTATTAGTACACTACGTCCTAGCTGGAAGCATCTTTTGAGGCCAAACGCAGGTCTGAGAGCTGCTGGGAGGAAGTTTCCTGGTACCTAGAATGGAGGTAAATCTCTCCAGGGCCCAGAGCACACACCAATCCTCAGTCGGGGCTCTGTCTTGGACTCAGAATCCTCCACAAAACAGTGTTCCATGCCATAAAGTTGCCATAAAAGACGAAGCCTAGTTCCCATTCCTGGCCTCAAGGATGAGGTTCAAACGCCCCCATGCAGCAAACTCATGTTGCAATGCTCTTCCAACCTTTAATTTCAGCCATTCCTCCCCAACTCTCTTCCAGGGCCCTGTGCTCCAAGCTCACCACACCCAGTTCTCTAGAATGCCCTGCCTTTCTTCTAGACCTCCACGCCTCTGCTCCTGATCTTTGCTCTTTCTTCTTGCCCCGGAAAATAGCAACACATCCCTCAGAGTCCAGCTCATGGATCACCATCACTGTGAGCCCTTCTCCCCGGAGAGAATTGGTTTCCATAGTGTTCTTATACCTGTTATGGTGCTTATTATTATACCTGTGATGTCCTGTTGAAGTTGTTGACATTCTTTTCCACTTTCACTTTACCACCAGACCTCTCCCCTTCCTGCCTACCACACATTCCAGTCCCCACCCTGATCTAGGAAACCAGGGGTTTGAAAACAAAAGGATCAGGACCCTGGAAGCGGACCCACTTCTAAAATAGCTAAGAAAGCCTAGTCTTCACCTCTGTCTCCTGAGCACCCAGCATGGCATCAGCTAGTAAGAGACTCACTAAGATTTACTGAGCTGAATCCCAACACCATCCTGCCACCACCCCTTTGTCCACCGCTGAACTTCTCCACCACATTTTTGTCCAGTCCCTTGACACCAACCAGCTTATCTTTGAACGAAATCACTCATGTATTCCATTTTCAGTATACTTTCAAAATATCCTCTCTCACTGGATTATTAAAACAAGTTTGCAAATTAAGTAGGGATTATCATTCCCATTCTGCCGATGGAAAACGGACGGAGTCTGGGTAAGTGTCTTACTCAGATCATAGGAATAATAAATGGTAGCCCTGGCTGCTCACACTCGTATGATCTGACCCCTAACCCTGTTCTTTCCATTACGTTGCTTTTTACTGGTATTCTACTCATGGACATGATTTTCAATTAGATGGCAAACTCTGTGGGCAAAAACCTTACTTTAAGCATTCCAGGCCTTCCACGCCCACGCAGCTATCGACTGACTGATGCTATATATATACCAAGGTAGAAAATTACATATATGAGAATTTTAGTAAAGATCCTTCCAAAAATTGAGACACGCAAGTATTTACAGTATTAGGACTTGGAAAAGCATGTCTGAGGCAAGAAAGCATAATGGTCAAACACACGAGTTCTACACCGATCCAAATCCTAGTTCTGCCCCTTACTAGTGGTGTAACTTTGGACAAGGCGACCTTTCTGTACCTTCATTTCTTTCTTGGTAAAATGAAGACGTAATAGTATTGAAGAGAGCAGGAACAACCCCTCCTCTGGCCCCACAGGGTCACTGTGAGGATTAAATGACTTCATTGCTGTGAAACACTTTAGCACGGTGTCTAGCACTTGGTGAGTCCACTTGTTAGCCATTCCTATTCTTCCATGGTCACAGAGGATTTCCTGGAGGACTCATCCTGAGGCTTACCACTGAATGAACTGGAAAAGAATTAGAAGCCAGAGTCTCAAAATGCTGGCTCTTAAGATCTCAGTTCTATTTTCAAACATGGTACATAAAATAGGCTGAGCAAAATGAGGCCTTTTACTCAGTCCAGCTCACTCTACTGCTCTCGTCTACAATTCTGACGAGACAAACAAACCTTCTGTCACAGAGTAACCTTAGACCATTTGAGAGCTTCCCAGGGCGGCCAGACCTGTAGGGCAGCTGTCGGAGTTGAAGCCTGAGCTCACCGATGTTATCACACACCTTGGCAAAGTCAACACATTAATTTTTCAAGGTGTTGCTGAATTTGTTCTGTGTCTGCTTTCCTGCAAAGGTCAAGTCCACCAGTACACCTGTAGCTTGAAAGCACTCATTCATTCCTACCTTCAATTTCTGAGCGTTCAGGTGGTTCCAAGCAGTGGGGAGAGGCAGGTGAGCAGACACCGTCCCCGCCTCAGGGAGCTCACACTGGCCTACTGTGGTAAGTGCACTGGAGATGTGTTTCTGGGAATACAGAGCTCATATGTCACCTCACATTAGGCCCAGCCAAAATCTGTTCAGAGATGTGGAGAGATCAAGTGGTCAAGGCTATATGTCTTATTCTCAGAAATGGTGACTACTTTGACCTCGACTTCCTCACTTGTAAGGAGGAGGAAGTACTCACTGGGGGCAATGTGCACCTCAAGGAACACTGGCAATTTCTGGAGATATTTCTGATTGTCACAGTCGAGTGGAGGAGAGCTACTGGCATCTCGGAGGTCGAGGCCAGGGATGCTGCCAAACATCCTGTGATACACAGGACAGCCCCCGCAACAGGGAATCACCCAGCCCAAGATGTCAGTAGTGCTGAGGTTGGGAGAAATGCTGAGCTACAAATCTCTAACCTTCTCTCTAGCTCCAAAAATCCTGTTTTTTGAAAACCCTATGCTTCTTTGAAGCTGATGAAAATGTTTATATGGCAGCTGTCTTTTTGAGTGGAAGGTCATCTAATAATGTAGCACAATCTCCTATAAAATACCCGAATCCCCTTTGTCACCTTCCTGCCAGGCTGCTAACCAAGTGATGAGAAGTTTATTACCTCAGATCTTGGCAAGAACCCCTCAGCATCAATGGCCAGCTTCCATCTGTTTGCAGGTTAAGGGGATAAGGTTTCCATGAATAAGTGATGGAAATCTACATGTCATACAAAACCCGTGTTTTCGGCAGTTTCTCTCCAAATTTTTTAAAAGCTTCTAACTGGAGTCAACAATCACTGCCTTGAATTTCATTTATTTTCCCAGCTCTCACCTTGCAGAGGGACGCGCTTCTGAGTAGTGAAAGGGTTAAATGCAAGCAGCAAACAAGAGTGCCAAGGAAAGGTATCTATTAATCCTCAGACTGGGTTCTCAAATCTTGAGGATTCCAAATTAGCTCTACTGTTTTATAACTTCTAGGCATTTGCATTTCTTTGTACATTCCTCATATGCTTCCGACCCCATAGCTCTCTATGGGTAGGGGCAGGTGAGCTCTGAGTCCTTCTCCAAGAAAAAGCAAGAGTAGGGAAGCATCCTGGAGCAGGGCTGGATGCACGACTCTTCAGGCCCCTGCTCGGTGAAAGGACAGCTTGCCCGTAGTAAGCCAGCGGGGCTTGTAAGCAAACAAGGCTTCGGGGCTGACAGAGCTAAAGGCGTTACTGACTTCTGGCTGTGGAGTTACAGAAACCCAGATTTTCTAATCTCGACTCTACCATTTACCAGCAACCTTGAATATGACCTCCAGATTCTCTAAACCTCAGTTTCTTCATCTTTAAAATGGGGATAATACCAGCATACTTCATAGATTTCCCGTAGGGATTAAATGGAATAATCTCTGTCGAGTGCCGGGTGATAGCAGGTTCTCCAAGAGAGTATAGCAGGTTGTTGGTTATGGTGTCATGGCTAGGGCTCACACATATAAAGGAGATAGGGCTCAGTGTTATTCAGAAAGAAGAAGAAAGGGGGCTCTCTTTTGTTTCTGAAATAACTTCTGTTTATATGTACTCCTCACCAGAATTCTACTATGCTTTCTGCAAAGGGAGGGGGGTTCTAGTACTAAGACCCTCCCCCTGCACTCTTAGGTCCTTTCCAACATTCTCTTTCATCTCCAAAACACATGAGTCACACAGTAAGACACAGGCAGGTGAAGATCAAAAGTTAAGACCATGAAAAAGCAGGATACGAAAAACGTCGTCCAGTTGCTCAATCTTGTAAGCATGTGAACACAGATACATTTAAATCTGAGCACTCGGGTCAGTCCCTCCCTATGACCAGGCAAATGCATCCCACGGATCAGTGGCTTCCATTCTGAACACAAATGACGATCTTGTCGAGAAAAGGTCGAGCCCAGACCCACACTGGCTTGCAAGAGTACCAGTGGGTGCCTCTCGCCTCTTCCACTGCCCAGTGCTTTATGGCTGTATGGGAAGTGACCCATGGTAGAATATCCGAGATGCCATGGGTGGTGTGGGGGGGCACACGGTGGCCTTGCTCCTTCCTGGCAGAGCCAACTGGAGACCTACAACAGTTGGGAAACTTTGAACTCTCAAGGACAAATCTAAGCTTCTAAGGTAAATTTAAAACTGAGCCAAGGAGAAGCTTATTTTGCTTAGGCAGCCAACCAGGGATTTCACTAATTCTGAATTCCTTAGCATAACCTCTCATTTCTAGTTACTCACCGTAATGGTTCGCCTCACAGACACAGGAGGTCCTGAGTGGCTGTCATATCTGTGGAAAGAATGTGAAATCATTTCTTTGAAGAAGTACCTAACTTTCACCAGGAGGAAAATCAACAGCACATTTGCTGTTATAATAACTTGAGAACATATTAGATGTATTTCTAACGTCCTACAGGAAGACATTTCTTGGTTAGTGCGTTGAAAAAAAATCTCAGAAACCTTTTCCTATGACTGTTTAGGATCAACGTTTTACATGTTTATCCCTCAGGTAGCCAAGAAGAAATCACGCAATGGTGGATTTGGATTTGAATGCAGCATAAAGACATAATAACAAAAACAGTAAAAATGTGTTGCGGTCTTACTATGTGTCAGTGTTCTCGTGCCATGTGCACGTTATCTCATTTAAAGACATCGCTCTTGAGAAGGGGATACTATGAATGCTGTCATTTTACAGACCCCAAAATGGAGGCAAAGAGAAGTCAGAAGACACAGCCCCAGGTGCACAGTTAGTGGATGAGCTCAGAGCCAGCCACAGCCTCCTGAAATCCAGAGCATGCCTTCTTAACCAGTCCAGACTCTTTTTGCAAGTGGGAAACAGATTTTCCTGTTTTCATACATTCTTATTTTCAAGAGAGATTAGGTCAGGGCCAGACTCAACAATTTACAAGGGTATTTTCAAAAAGCAAACCCTACAAAGATGGTTTCTGGATGTTTATTTTTATAAAGATGACTTATTCACTATGAAACCATCTTGGAGCATAATTATGCTTTTACTGTTTTTGTTGCTTCTCTCAGTTTCTGTAGAAGGTGAAAAATTTACAAGACATGGGTCCCAAATGGAGATAGATTTTGATCTTTTAGATCCATAATCCTATGCCAAGGGGCACTCTGCCTGAATTATAGCTCAAGATTTAATAGGCGGTAATGACTCACTGCTCTGTACAAAATGAGGTCCTCTCCTCGCCTAAGAAAACAGCAAAGGGAATCGAGCATTAAACCAATAAACTACAACTTTAAGGCAGATCAGTCAAAAGTGGCAAGATACAGTTTTCCCTTATTCGAACTCCTGCCTGCTTCACGGTTTCCCAGAGTCGGGCATAAAACCTGGGAAGCCGGCTGCAACCAAGATGGCCGGGAGACTCGCCACCTTCCTCAAGGATGCCTGGGCCAAGGAGCCGGTGCTGGTCGCGTCCTTCACCACCGGCAGCCTCGCTCTAATTCTGCCCACCCCCAGCCCCTTCACCAAATATGCCACCATGATCAACCAGGCCATGCCCTACAACTATCCAGTGCCCCTCCGAGATGATGGGAACATGCCTGATGTGCCCAGCCACCCCCAGGACCCCCAGGGCCCAAGCTTGGAGTGGCTGAAGAACTTGTGAGCATCCCCGGTGACATGAAGGAGGCCCCTCCCCTGAGCCAATAAAATGCGAAAAGCGACCCCCCAAAAAAACAAACAAACAAACAAACAAACAAACAAAATCTGGGAAGCCATACAGTTTTATATGTTAAAGATATCCAGATATAGTTGACAGTTTAGCTCAAATTTTAAACAAAAATTGAAATTAATATCATGGACTGTGTTTCACATTACTCTGAAACACCAGCTCTAAATGAATACTACCTGAACTTGAATACTCCTTTTACTTTTATTCTTCTTTCCCCCTACAGCCTTATTGAAACTGCCAGGCTGCCTTCCTGCCAGGCGGTGTTCTGAGTGCTTTGGAGGATACAAATAGGACTGAAATAGGGACCCTGTTCTCTGAGAGCTTTTGCAGTAGGAACAATTAGATACATAAAGAGCCAAAATACAAGCAAAGGGGTGATGCAGACAATAAGGAGATGTTAAGTTAAATGCCCTGAACATGCAGAGGTGCTGGTGAGCACTTGGGGGTGGGGGTGTGATCAGGGAAGCAGTCGGGGGAAGGTGTCGGTTGAACAGGTATGGAAGGCGAGGAACAGCATGAGCAAAAACCTGGAGATGGGCAAGAGCCAGGGAGCTTGGGAACTGGCAAGTAATTCAATTTTGCCAGAGCCAAGAGAACATGCCAGATTGTGAAGACTCTTTCCAGAGCCCCGGGGGCTGCAGCACATGCAGCTCCCCAGGCCCCGAATCTGATGTGGAACGTGGGCAGCTGGGGCAGGGTTCAGTTCCCGAGAGTGGCAGGAGGGTGGAGCATGTGACTTAGAGGATGGCAGGAGCATGAGAGAGTGCGAGGGAGTGCTGTGCACGGGCGGGGGGGGGGGGGGGGGGGGGGCAGTGCATGTCCCCTGATGGTGTGCAAGGCTGAGTGTGCCCTTGTGGATTTACTGGCCAGGTGTAGGACTCAGGTGGCTTGGAGGCCCAGAGTCTCTGCACCCACTCTCAGGCACTCCTAGAAGTGACTTTATGTTTCTGATGTGAACGGCGTTTGCTTGCAGAGTGAATAAAAGCATCAGTGGCGTCACGGGAGCTGTGGTGGTAGAAGTCCTCTGGACCAGTGATTTCAAGGGACATAAAGCTACCTCATTTACTGTATTTGCTCTCAAGCCCTGCTGAAGCCACATCTTGAAGGTCTTTCACACACAACCTCATGTCTCCAAGGCACTCATTCTGCCTATGAAACTTCTGTAATTTCTCTCCTGGGCTCCTCTCCATCCTTCATACCACCAACCGAGATCTGTCTAACATGCGCATGCAACCACATAAGTCCCCTTCTTAACATCTTACAAGGTATTAACCAAAATCTTAACTTGATCCAACACTCTTCTTTGGTCTGATGAGCCTCTCAGACCACCCCTCACCCTTCAAGCCTCATCCCCCCAGCCCAACTCCGCTCATCTATAGCTTCCCGTAAGCTAGATTTACCGAATTTATTTCACTTCCATAAAATATTCTCTCTTGTCTCTATACCTTTGCAGATACCATTCAGAAATGCTCACTTCAGTGTATGAGAGCATGCCTCAAGAATATTCTTTTTAAAAACCAGAACCCCAGGTGACTTCCCCCACGTACTGACGGAGCATGCTCTGAGCACTGGCCACTGAGGAGATCCATCTGGCTGACCACAGGCAATTCAGACCCTCCATGTCCCAAATGGACTCTGTGTCCTTCTTCCATGCCTACTCCTTCCTGTCCAGTCAATGAACAGATCCTGTTGATTCACAATCCGAAACCACCCATCCCTCTCCATCCCCCCATTTATACCCCAGTTAAGACATTTATCATCTGCTGCCTTTATGTTTGCACTAGTCCCTTACCTGTTCCTCTCCGTCCAAGTTTTGTTCCAATCCACTCTCTACACTTTAGTCAGAGTGATCAGTATAAAGTGAATCACACCACTTCCTGGTGTAACATTTTATGATTCCCATCTGCTTTCAGGTGAAAGTTCAAATTCTTCTCTGCACTCATAAGGCTCTATGTGATCTAGTCCCCATACACTGTCCAGCCTTGTATCTCACCTTTGTATATCCCTCTGCCTTGGGGAATTGGCACAGCTCTGAGCATCTGCAAAGAACGTGCCTGAAACATCTTTCTACCACTTGTTTGCTTGGACAACTCTCATCCCCTTGAACGATCATTACTGATGTCATTTTCACTGGAAGACCTCTTGGGCTTAAGACTTAATCTACCATACACTCCTTCATATGTGCTCCTAGAGCACGTGGAACTTCCCCATCTTAGCACTAGCATTCTACATTTCTCTATTTCCATTTTGTCATCCTCACCGGACTAAAGCCCACAAAAGCAAGGGCTGCAAGCTTCCTTCCATAGCACCGCACATGGTGTTCCTTGAACACTCCTCATTGCATAAATAAGCACATGTGTTCCTTTTTATCCTTATCACATCTACTTCAACTATCTTTCATCACCATCACCCGCTGAGTTTCCTAAGTTGGAGAGGAGAGTTCACCTCCATTCCTCCTTCACCCACCACATCCCATCAGCAGGTTCCCCTGATTCTACATTCTAAGTCATGCACGAATCTGCTGTTTGCCCTCCTCCCTGCCTGCTACCTCATCCATCATTTCAACAGTCCTTTACCTGGTCTCTCTGACTCAAGTTTTGCCTTCCCTTTGTGCTCCAGCCAGATCAATCTCCCAGCCTCGGCCCTATGGGCATCTCTTTGGGGGGGGCATCTCTCGTAGCAACATGGGGTACTTAGCAACATCTCTGACCCCTTACCCACTGGATGCCCAGAGTTCCCACCCTTCAGTTGTGAAAACCAGAAATGTCTTTTGGAGGGCAAAATTGCCCTTGGTTGAGAAGCACCATGCTCAAATGATCTTCGCAAAATGAAGATCTGATCGTGTCATTCTTCTGCTTACGAACTAGCAACGGAGGGGCACCTGGGTGGCTCAGTCAGCTGAGTGTCCAACTCTGCTTACGAACTAGCAGCGGAGGGGCGCCTGGGCGGCTCAGTCAGCTGAGTGTCCAACTCTGCTTACGAACTAGCAACGGAGGGGCACCTGGGTGACTCAGTCAGCTGAGTGTCCAACTCTTGATCTCAGCTCAGGTCTTGATCTCAGGGTTGTGAGTTTAAGCCCTGCACTGGGCTCCACACTGGGCGTGGAGCCGACTTAAAAAGAAAAAAAGAAAGAAAGAAAAACTAGAAATGGGTAAGGCAGATATATGTACCTGCACACATGCATTGAATACACCAAAGTATTTTAGTCTTTGTCCAGGGCAGCGGGTTGTGGGTGACTTTACCCAATATATATATATATATATATATATATATATATATATATATATATATACACATACACATATATATAAGAGAAATACACACATACACACACACACAAATAAAATATATACATATATATATAAAGTAAGGAAAAATGGTATTAAAGTAAAAGTGATTAATGACTTCCCATTGTCTATGGGATCAAATCCAAGCTTCTTCGCACCGCCAATCCCTGTGTTATGGCCTCTGCCAACCCCTCCCATTCCATCTCTTACTGGTCTCACCTTATACTGGGTCACTGAACCTCAGTGACCTAGGTGAGTTCTTGCTTTTTCCAGTCTCCACACCTTGGCTGTGTCAGTTTTTCTGCCTGGTGCAACCTCCCGACTCTTAATTACCAAGCTTAGTCCTGTATGTTCTTTGGCAATGGGCTCTCCTCTTCCAGGAAGGCTTCTGGCCCTTGAGTCTGAGTTAAGTGCTCCTCCTATACGTTCTCAAGGCCAGAATACCGGGCACCCTCCCTCACACTCACCATATGACACCATAATCACCAGTGTATTTGGCTGCAGCGAGGCCAGATGGTATCCCTGTGTGAATCCCACAGAGCACCCCTTCCTCAAGTTACTGTCATTTGCCAGAAAACTGCCATAAGAAATATCTGAACCCATGATGTTCTGCCACGTCCCAGAGTTCTGTGGGGCACCTCTGCCCAACCGCATGCAATGCTCTGCTGTTCCCCACTGGATTACGGATTTCTCTGGGAAGGACCTGTGCCTTATTTTCACAATTTTGTCCTCAGTGTGACCTGTAGTATCTGATCCAGAGTAAGACTCTGATAAAAGCTCAATAAAAAAACAAAAGAGAAACTATGACCTGGGCTAACAACACCTATGCGGAGAGTTCTGACAGCCCTTCCCGAAATGGGGTTAGGAAGCAAGGCTGCCGGGGGTTTCAAACCTGGCTGAGCACCCGAATATCCCAGAGAATTTAAAATAAACAAATAAATGAAGTTCCCTGTGCCCTACTTCAGACCTTCTGAATCAGAATCTCAGAGTCGGGGCCAAGTGTCATTATTTTTAAATTGCTGATAAGATTATACTAATGATCAGTCCTATCACCTGGGAACACCATTGGCCACCCAGGATAAACTCCAGACCACTCCCCTGGCATGCCTCTTCCTCTTGTCACCACAGCCCTGCCCATGGAGACCACATCTGGGTTCACGGAAGGAGCACTTCCAAAGAAGGAGCTCACTGACTCTGACTTCTCCTTCCACCGAGGAGTCTAAGTTTTTTGTGTCTTTGAACTCAGGCATTTGTAGGGAGTGGCATGTGTAGCGAGTGAGAGAGAGAAAAAGAGAATGACCAGAATCCAGGGGGAAAAAATATCACCTGCCTTTTTAATTTTCCAAAACAGTAGCTCAATGTCTTGCTTACATAACCTGGGGTTGCAGCTGGAGCGTGTACACCCTGTGGATCAGGCAAATTTGGGCATGTCTGAAGAGCAGCAAGGTGGATCCACCAAAGCTCTTTGCATCTCAAGAGAAAAATAAAACCCTCCTGAAGCTGCAGGGTAAGGGGCATGCACTCAACCCCAGAGAGGCGCTGCCCGTTCTCATCACCACCACGCAGTGGGTACTTACACATGCTAAGCACTGTGATGGTTCTCAAATAAAAGAGGGGATCTTAAATTGAATTGTAAGTGCTACTCATGAGCCTTATGAACTAGTTCCCTTGTCTTTTCACTTTGCTCTGGTCCTTGGGACTACAACAAAGGAAGTGCGGGGGGATCCACATCCCTAAAATCGCCCTCATGAACTAGCGGCACATGGCAACACAGTTTTGACAATGTAAGTGGCCCCCTTGAAGGGGCAACTTTGCTGTAGATGGCGTGGTAGCATGAGACCCAGAGGGGTGCGCACAGCACGTATTCATAGCAGGGAGGGCATTATTGGGATCATGGGCGTCTGGAATAAGGAATGAACAACTGTAGATCCTCTTTGGGAGCCAGGAAGATTGCATTTGTAAGCTCATGACCTACACTCTTGGGTACTTGCTAAACTCCATAGAAGGAATTTTTGAGGCTCTAGGTTATTGAAATTTCATGCTGGCGTTGGGGGGTGGGGTGGGGTGGGTCGGGGCTGAGCACTATGCCATAGGCACTAGATGCCCTATCACAAGACATGAGGAGACAGAACTTACAGGGAAATGTTGGGGGAAAGATACTTGCAATATACATGTATACTTCTCTTGAATGTGTTGGCCAGCAATAAACAAATCGAAACATGAGTGGAAAATATTTTTCCTTTTTCCTGGGGTTGGGGAGGGGTCAGAGGGAACATAATTCAATCATTTACAAATAGGATTAAAATAATAATGGGATATTGGTGTCTGGGTGGCTCAGTGAGTTGGGTGCCTGACTCTTGGTTTCGGCTCAGGTCATGATCTCGGGGTCCTAGAATCCAGCCTGGAGTCGGGCTCTGCACTCAGCTCGTGGAATCTGCTTGGAATTCTTTCCCCCTTTGCTCCTCTCTCTCAAATAAATAAATAAATAAAATCTTTTTTTAAGATAATGGGATAATTTGAGAAGTGCACAGATTTGGGAGGAGAAACTCATCCTATTTGAAGCAGAAATGACAAAACTTTGTGCCTTTTTGTTAATTCATCCAGTCACCATGTTCTCATGGCTTTTTTATCCACTCCTAAGAGGAAACCAAAGCTTCAATATATCATATACTTTTACTGGCTGAGCCTTTCTAAAGTAAATATCTGATGAAATGACCAAATCCATTTTCTTCTGGGGAGTGTTCTCCATGATCCAGTGTCATTTCTTGGTTAAACCACAGCTTAGAAGATGAAAAGAATGTTCTCTGATACTCGAGTCTTTCAGGGCTGAACAGAAGGCTATATTTTGCCTGGAGGGGTGGGTTCTCTTCCTGTGATTTGCAAAAGATCCTCTCAACTGCTTTGCTGACTTGTTCTCAGAGCCCCGAGTGTGACAAAGTGGAGCCCAGAAGGCTTTGGCAAGTAGGAACCTGATGGCTACCTGACACAGGATGACTGTGCTTTCCTGGGGCTTGTCAGTTCTTCCTGGTGCAGTTAAAGGCAAGGAGGAGCTCCTGAATCATGTATTTGGAAGGTTGATTTTGTATTTCAAAAGATCAGAACTGCCAAAGAAAGGTAGGCTCTACTTAAGAGTAAAGAGTCTCTGGGAATGTACAATACACAATTTATATTCCTACCATAGCACAACACTCCCCAAAACCACCCCCTGGCCACACACACACACACACACACACACACACACACACACACTCTCTCTCTCTCAGGATTTATATCCAAATACTTAGGTCACACACATATTTAAGAATAAAAAGGACAGGGGCGCCTGGGGGGCTCAGTCGGTTAAGTGTCTGCCTTCGGCTCGGGTCATGATCTCAGGGTCCTGGGATCAAGCCCCGTGTCAGGCTCCCTGCTCAGTGGGGAGCCTGCTTCTCCCTCTCCCTCTGCCTGCCGCTCTGCCTACTTGTGCTCTCTCTCTGTCTCTCTGTCAAATGGATAAATAAATAAAATCTTAAAAAAATTTTAAGAGAATAAAATAAAAATAAAAAGGACATGTTTTTGCAGTTTATCTACTGAAACTTCTTAGGAGCAAAAAAAACAGTGCCTTCATGATATTCTGCACCAGCACAATTCATAAATATTTATCTCCATTTCCATTTTGAAACTAAAATGTATTTAGAGAAGACAAATTCTGATAACTGCTTAACATACACATATATACTTAAAGGATAAAATCTGTTCCATTTCTGCATTCTGATTTTTATGTTTCAGTTGGTATGGTTAAAAGAAAGCTGCAAGTCAGGTTGGCACACAAGAAGGATGGTTGCTAAATAGAATTTTGTGAGGTTGCAATTTTTTTTTTTTTACCTTGATCTGTAACCAGAAAACATGATACCCAGATGGAAGATTCTAGATTTGCTGTCTTCTTTGATCCATTTTTGCGGTGACCTGCAATATGAGCTTGGAAATAACTTGTCCACAGAGTGAACAGGTTCCTCAACTTTTCCAGGTTTACTGATGTTAGATTGTTCAGCTGTATAAGACTCTGCCTTAAAGAAAATCACCTAAAACACAAACTCCATCACAAGTCCCAGCTTCACCACACATCAGGAATATTTTTTTTTGTCCTTAAAATACATATTCCCTCCACAGGAAATACCCTTCGATTTAAAATCCCCAAATGAGAGGATGACTAGCGTTTCAAACATTTTTACAAAGAAAAGCAACTCACCTATTTGCAGAGTACTTCCTTGCAAGTGACTCTGGTAGGGACAGTCACATAAATCTACATTCTGTTCAGCTCTTCATTATTTTAGCAAAGACAAAAGCAGGCTCAGGTGAAAGCTGGGAGCAAAACACCTTCCATCCACCCGAGAGGGAAGGACAGAGTTCTGTTCTCCAGGTTCGGGAGCCTCATCACCCGCCCCACCAAGCTGCGTGCCACTTACTGTTTTCAGCAAGAGTGACCTCCAGCACCTCCTATTTAGTGCAGCAATGCACTCTTAATGGTGTGACGGCACATGTCACGTGTGAAGCCAACACCTTAAGAGGGTGGGAAGCTTTTCAACCAGGAAGACATGCTGAAAATATTTAGCAGTCAGCTCAATTACATGTAAGCAAAGCCTTGCTTATTTTTCACAAAACAATCCAATAACCTGTGAGTCAGGATGAACTGATTTTTACACCGTTCTACACTGGCAACTCTCTGGAACGATGCCTGTTCCAAAAAGCTTCCCTTTCTTTACCTTAAGTTTAAATTCTGGGTCCCCACAGCAGAACAGCCGTCCTGAATACTGCTAGTCATGGTAATATCCTTACCCCTCAATTTTAAAATGCCAGTTTTCTCTACTCTCGTTGCTCATCTCGTTTACTTTCATTTCATCTTTCTATGCCATCTCTCCTTGTGACTACAGATACACATATCCCCGAGGAAAAAGTAGTTTTGATTTGAAGATATCTTCCTAACCAGAGCATAGACCAGGCTCTTGAAACAGTGGAGAAAGTCACTGAGCATTTCCCAACATTTAACCCATTATTCACCGCATGCACTACCTGGGATCTGTGCAGTTGGTTAGAAGTTGGCTTTCAAAAGAGCCAAGTTTCGTGGTTTCAGAAGGACTTTGTCCCTCTGCGAGCTCAGTCCTGTTTCTTTTGTGACTATCTGCATTTAAAGTCAGAGAACAAACATTAAACATTCTGAATACAAAACAGGCGACTGGCCTCTGCCATCAGAGTTGTCACATGATCCGAGTTTAACTCACCCTTTCTGTCCCAGCGACTGAAGCTTTAAAGTCTCCTTTCTGGATTTTCTGAATGAGAACAGGGAAGCAAACGACGATCTGAAACTCAGCCGAGAAGAAATGGATGTTGGGTTTCTTTGATTAGTTGTAGCTTTAGATCTTGATGTTTGTAATTCCATGGGATCTAGAGGGAAATTGTAGAAATTTGGCATCACTCAATATTTCCAGGTAAATACATCTCAGAGAACGAAGCCCTCGCTCTTGCTTCCCACCTCTCAATGGAGATGGAGAATGCAGCAGGCATCCCCACGTGAAGACCCTAGGAACTCAGGGGCGCCCTGTGCCTCTGAAGGCTCTGCTGTGTAGAGAAAATCCTCACAAAGAGTAGGGAGCCCTTTCAATATGCACCGTGAGCCATGGTTCCGTGGAACGTGCCTCCCCGCACACCAGCTGCGCGAATCCACCCAAAGCCCAACATAAGGTGTCACCACCCTCGTTCAACTTTTGGGGTGCCTTTAGCCACCCTGTCCTTCCAGATATTTTTTATCTTAGTGCTTTAAAGCCATACTGATAGACACCATGGAACTTTTTACTCCAAAGAAAGTAAAGGAAAAGGAAATTAAGCCACTTAGAGTGTTCCTTATTCCCATCAGAAATCTATCTCTGTGTATGCGTATTTGCTACACATACGGTTTATATGTGTGTCTGCCTGTAATATAAACATGCCTAATGTATGTATAGATAACATATAGTTATATATGTGAGCATTAAAAATTCTAAGGCACTATCAACATATACAAAGTCTATAATACTGTAATATATTTGGACATGCTGAATTTATAAATATTAGAGGAATTCAAGGTAAGGGGAAAGTCATCACGGTAAAAATGGGGTTAATTTCGGAGTCTGAACTGAGTCTTTTTAGATAGATTTGTTTATTATGGGAGTTGTAAAATATTGTCAGTATAACTTTAGAAATATTGTTACATGTTTCTTGATGTTACTAATGTTAGTAACATGCCAGTAAAAGTAGTCAGTATGACTGTATCAGTAGGAAGATACTCTATACTGTTTTCATAGTTTATAATGTTGAATGCACTTCATTATTCTCACAATAGTCCTGTGAAAGTGGGTTTTATTATCCTCATTTACAGATTAAAAAAAAAGTGATGGGTGAAGATGAGTGACATGGGAGTAGTCACATGGTTGGGATGTTCAAAGAAGCACTTGCCTATGGAGTTTAAGTTACCGAAGTACCAGAAGGGCGGCGGCTCTTCTACCACCTTCTCCCATAATTCCCCCTCCCCCTTTCTCTCCCCCCTCCAGCTCCCCCTTCTTCTGCACCATCATCCCAATCATTTACGTGCTTACTGTATTCCAGCTCGGTGCATTATAAATACACAACCACCCTATGAGGTGTATCATCATACCCATTTAAAGATGAGAAAATTGAAGCGTATAGAGAATAAGTAACTTGAACAGTCACATGGATTCTGATAGAATAGAGAACACCAAGAGAGCGGAGATGCAAATCCAAGCCTTTTTTTAATATTGATGTCTGTGTTCTTAACCACTACTCTATCTTGCCTGATTCTAAAAACATACCCCCAAGACATGATAGCACATTTTCAGTTCACTCTTTTTATTATATGTTAGGTTATAAAACTTTTGTACCTTACGATTTAAAAATAACCCTAAATATGGATTGGTTAAATCAGAGACCCACTGAGTCATTATCTAGAATACAGCACTGTAAGAAAAAAAAATCTAATCTAAATTTTTTTTCTTACCATTTTCTGCCATCCCCTTCCTTAGTCTGTATGTAAGTGGTTGTTTTAACATTTGGCTAACATCTGTTTCATTGCAGAACTTTTTTCTTTGAATTTCCTCAAACCATTCGCCAGTCACTCCCTGAAGCCATCTGATATCCCTCTTTGTCTTCTGGAGTTTGCTGAAATAAAACAAAAATGTCAATGCATCCTTTAAATGTCTTCATATCAAGTGCACATTCATGGGCTAGAAGCCTAAACTTGACTTAGGGAGAGCTGCATAAACTGTGGGAGAGAAACTGGCCCTGGTCAGAATTTCCTTTTCCCCACTGTGTACGTATTTTAGCTGTGTTTTTCTAAATATGATGGCAATCCACAAGTTTTTGCTAGTCGTTAAAGTAATCAAGCTGGTGATGACAACTTGGGCTGAGCATTATGCGAACCTGACCTAATAATACAGTTGAATGATTGATGATTTAAGGACATGTAGAAACCAGAATATTCTAGTTCCAATTACTCATTCATTCATTCATTCATTCAGTGTTTCTTGAGCAATGTCCTTGTACCAGTCCCAGTGTAGACAGTGGGGATTCAACACTGAACATAACAGATAGGTTCTGGTGGTCAAAGATAAACGTTTACTCGCAGAGAAGAAATGGTTGAATATAATGATTTTAGATAAAGAAATTAAACACAAAAGCCCATGAATGAGCACCCAGCTAACGCTTCGTGGTCAAAGCCAGTGTGACCTGAGATGGATAGGAAAGGCCATCCAGAGCACAAATGTGTCTGCTCCACACCTTCCAACAGCAGGCCTGAAGTCCTGTCATTCCTTCTTGATCGTTTTCCTCTGCCCTTTAATCGTACTTGTGCTCTTTCAAATGAAAAGGTTGCTTAGCCCTTAATTAAATCACTGGTTGTGATTTAATCACTGGTTCTTTTTTTTCTTTAAGCCAATTTGCTCTATTTCAGGAAAACCCCAGAACTGTTTGGAAATGAGAGGTGCTTAATCCAGAGAGAGAGAGAGAGAGAGAGAGAGAGAGGAAGCGTGAGTGCTGGACGGGGCAAACAGAGCAGAAAGGCGAGTCTGAAGTACATGATGTAAATCTCTTGGTGGTCAGTTTGGCACAGCACTGGGCTTGTTGATGGGGTCCAAGCTTGGGGAGTTCTGCTGCTTGGAAAAGAATTTCATGGGATTCTGCAGCAGTTACCCTTTACCCAGGGTCCTCTGTGAAGCACCAGGGTCGGGGAGTTTGTATGACAAAGAACATGGTGAGCAAGACAGCCACAGAGTGGCAAATTTGGGGTTAAAGGTAATGAACCAAGATGGTTGCAAGCAAGGCTCCTGCTTGGGGCTATGATACCGTCATTTTATAAAATAATCGAGAAGGAAGCCAGAGGCCATCCTGCCCAGACTTGCATTTTGAAACGCATCAGGCAGCAGTGGTCATGTCCAGGCCACAACATCCTCCTGGGTGCCTCCATCTGTCATTGCCGTCCCTCGGATGCCTGGCCACCCCTGTCTCTACTGCCACTTCCCTGCAAACCAAGGGACCACAAGTAACTGTTTCTAATCAGTACTGGCTGCCTCCAGCTTGTCATCACCTCACTTATTAATGTCCCACATTTGTTCCCCATTCTATGTTCTCAAAGTCCTCCCCCTGCCCTGATTGTTCGAGCCTGACACTCAGCACCACCGCCCCCCCACCACTTGTCAATGCATCCACCTCATCTCAGAACACAGTCAAGCTACCTGACTTCGGAATTCTCCAAATGTAACTATTTATTCATTTTTACTAGAGGCTTGATGAAACATTGACTCTCTTTGAAAATCATCACACTTCATTTGACATCAAGTGCTCGTTCCAGGCTTGCACTCACATCCTTCAAAGCCTGTTTCTTTCCCAACATCCGGCCAATGAGGTCAGAAATCCGTACCTCTTTGGGAAGACTCCCATGGTTTGAATTTGACTTCAGGAAGTAAATCTTGAAGAAACAACCCTCCTCCCTGTACACTAGTTTCTAAAAATTAGTTTCTAAAAGTAATTATGCAGGCAATGCAGCATCCTGGGAATGTCACATAGCACGAAGCAGGAAAGACAAAATGCAGGTTTTATCTATTCCAAGCTATGTAAAATGAGGCACACATTGGGGGAAAAAATCAGAACACCTGATCTCTTAGGGCAGAATAATTATAGGTATCATTTCTATTTTTAACTTTTTAATTATGTTTATTTGGTAAATATAATATATGAACCTATTTTTTCTTGTTGTTAATTTTTATATTGTTGGGGCTTTTTTCCATTATAATTTTTCTTGTAGATAGAGAAAAAACAACAGTGATGTTTTCACAGTCCTAACACAATCACTATTAACCATTTGGTATAATTTTTCACATGGTCGTGATAAAATTTATTCAATATACATTTGTAGAAGGCCTCCTAGGGCGCATGCAGGGATACAATGCTGAACAGAGCAGAGAGGGCTCCCACCCCCGTGGGACTCCTCATCTAATGAGAGACAGATCTCGGCCCAGGCACAATACAGATGTAAGGTAACCAAGAGGCGAGAATGATTAATGTATTCAACACATGTTTGAACTCTGGGTAAAGAGCAGTGAACAAGTCAAGTCCTTGCCCTCACAGTATTTACACCCTGTTGGGGGCAAACAATAGAAAAGTAAACAGGTGCTAGGTGAGCACCTGGGGCAGCAGCGAAGATTTTTCCCGAGAACACGATACGTGGCCTGAGGTTGAGGATGAAGGGGAGCAGGTAGGTGTTTCTGGGAGAAGGTTGAAGATGAAGGGGAGCAGGTAGGTGGTTCTGGGAGAGAGAGAGAGAGAGCTTTCCAGGCAGAGGAGTAGCAGCTGTAGGGCAAATGCCCCCAAGGAAAGAAGCAGGGAGCTAAGGGTAGAGCTGAGAGGGAGGTGGCCGCTGGGTTGTGCAGTGAGCATATGGGGCTAGCGGTCTGGCGTTTAGTCCGGCAGCACTGACAATGCCTTGTTGACTCGGCAGCGACATGACACATCACGTTTGCATTCTCAAAAGATCATCCTGGACTAAAAACTTTCCGCACAGCAAAAGAAATCCTAAGCAAAATGAAAAGGCAACCTACTGAAGGGGAAGGAGTGTTTGCAAATCATGTATCTGATAAGGGGTTAATTACCAAAATATATAAAGAACTCATACAATTGAATAGCAAAAAGACCAAACTATCTGATTTTAAAAATGGACAGAGGAGCTGAATATTTTTCCAAAGAAGATATACAGATGGCCAGGGGGCACATGAAAAGATGCTCAACATTACTAATCGTTCGGGAAATGCAAATCAAAACCACAATGAGATATCACCTCACACCAGGCAGAATGGCTATTACCAAAAAGACAAGAAATAACAAGTGTTGGTGAGGCTGTGGAGAAAAGGGAGCCGTCGTGCACTGTTGGTGGGAATGCAAACTGGTGTAGCCACTGTGGAAAACAGTATGGAGGTTCCTCAAAAAGTTAAAAATAGAACTAATCTATGATCTAGCAATTCCACTTCTGAGCATTTATCCAAAGAGAATGAAAACACTAACTCAAAAAGTGTACGCACCTCTGGAATTGTAAAATTGTATGGAAAAACAAAATATGATACAGATACAATTTTAATTCCATATATATAAAATACAATACAAATCCAATCCACACACAATGGAATATCATTCAGTCATAAAAAAGAATGAAATCTTGCCATTTGCAACGACATGAATAGAACTTGAGGGCATTATGCTAAGTGAAATAAGCCAGAGAAAAACAGGTACTGTATGATCTCACTTACATGTGGAATTTAAACAACAACAAATCCAGCTCCTAGACACAGAGAACACACTGATGGTTGCCAGAGGTGGGGGATGGGAGGCAGGAGAAATGGGTGAAGAAGGTCAAAAAGTACAAACTTCTAATTATAAAATAAGTCCTGGGGACATAATGTACAGCATGGTGACTATTGTTATTAATTTTGTGTTGCATATTTGAAAGTTGCTGAGAGAGTAGATCTTAAAGTCCTCCTCACAAGAAAAAAGCTATGTAGCTATGCATGGTGATGGATGGTAACTAGACTTACTGCAGTGATCAGTTTGCAGTGTATAGAAATATCGAATCACCATGTCAAACACCTGAAACCAATATAATGCTATACCTCAATTATACCTCAATAATTGAAAAGATTTTAGCTACTGGTGGAGAGAAGATTGCAAGGGGAGAAGAGGAGCATAGTCAGGAGACTTGGAGGGTCCAGGACAGAGAGTGGTTTGCTTAGCCCAGGATGGTGGTGGTGAAGCAGAAGAAAAGTAGGAAGTGTTCAGAGCTACTTAGCAGGTGAAATTTATACTCAAGTGCCCACCAAGGGATGAAGTGACTTTGGAGGCAGGCTAAGAGGACAGAGGTATGTCAAGGAAGACTCCTCGATTTCCGATTCACACAGGTGCATGGAAGATGCCATTCACAGAAATGGCACATATACGGTCTTCAAAAAAACAACCTTATATATTGAACACCTTTACCATTACTCATCTTTGGAGCAATCATTAAATATTTGCATAAAATTCAAGCTAGTATGATTTCCGTAACTTATTTACTATTCCTCTGGTGAAGAACATTACGATTTTGCCTTATAAATACTGCTGTAAGGGACATCCCTGTGCATTTTCTGTTTTTACAGTGTTTTTGACAGACATTGGAGCAGAAATTACTGGGTCAAAGAGTCAAGAACACTTTTTGTGATTCTTTATACACTACCAAAATACTTCTCACAATGGCTGTAGCATATTACTCATACCAGTGATGTACAATATGGTAACTGGGCACCTTTGGAAGACTAGATGTTATTTTTTTTGAGTATTTTTATTTTCTGAATTTAATACTTTCAAGGCACCATGTTTTTAATTGTGGATATTTTTCTTTGCTTAAAAAAATGCTGTATTTCTTCCTTTTTTTTTTTTTTAAAGTGCTGGGCATGGAGCCCGATGGGGGTCTTGAACTCATTACCCTGAAATCAAGACCAAAAAAATACTATATTTCTTTGATAAGTAGTGAGGTTTGATTACATCCCACATGTCTGTTTACTAATGACATTTTGTATTTTGTATTTTGGCAATCAATGAGGTAATCAATGCCTCAGGGTTTTTCACCGGAATGAGGCATG